AGTCTTGGTTTAGTCTTGGTTTAGTCTTGGTTTTGGGTAGTCTGGTTTAGTCTTGGTTTAGTCCTGGTTTTAGTCCTGGTTTAGTCTTGGTTTAGTCCTGGTTTAGTCCTGGTTTAGTCCTGGTTTAGTCTTGTTTAGTCTTGGTTTAGTCTTGGTTTAGACCTGGTTTAGTCCTGGTTTAGTCTGGTGGTTTAGTCCTTGGTTTAGACCTGGTTTTAGTCCTGGTTTAGTCTGGTTTAGTCTGGTTTAGTCTTGGTTTAGACTGGTTTAGTCCTGGTTTAGTCTTTGGTTTAGTCCTGGTTTAGTCCTGGTTTAGTCCTGGTTTAGTCTTGGTTTAGTCTTGGTTTAGTCTTGGTTTAGTCTTGGTTTAGACCTGGTTTTAGACCTGGTTTTAGACCAGGCAATGAGTGGAATTACCGAAAAAAAAAACAGAAAAGGGATATAGAGCAGAATGTGAAAACAGGAAAATCCCTCTGTGTAATCCATTTATTTCAACCAAGTAACTGTAATCCAATTACCACTCACTGACACAGTAACTGTAACTGAATACAGTTACTCATCATTTGTACTCTGATTACATAACTCTGGTACATGTAATCTGTTACTCCACAACACTGGTTGTATGTGTGTAAACAAAAAGATTTAAGTCTGTATCATTTCCTTTTTGGTTCTTCCTGTGGATCAATCCTGCCCATCACCTTCACCTTTCACTATTTTTCAATTCCGTTGGGAAGAGAAACAGTTGGAACAGAGGTTTGAGTCACACACATCTGATTCACTTTTGCATTTATGAAGTTCACAAACACATTTCTCGAATCGTTTTCCGCTGTTTGGATCCAACAACCACATAATTACGATGTCTGAATCCCAAAACTAAAATATGACAATATCAGAACCAGAAACAAAAGTGATATGGTTCAAAAGACTTGAAAAGATCGACTCTGACAATAGACACATCCCACTGGGAAAACAAACATGGAGGTTTGACGCTCACTTTTTTGAAAATCCTTCCCAGTATGAATTGTGCACGATGACCTGAAGTCTGAGATTCTTGATGTGTGTAATATGAGTTATTGTGAATACTCTAACAATTTAGCGTCTCAGACAGTTTTTTTTTTACACGTTACAGTTGAACAAAGTTGAGTTATTGTGAACACGTTAAATAAAGTTTGACTGACTTTTCTAACTGTTGTGTTTGGTTTAATGCTCCTTATCGTCCGGTGCCGTTTATTTGTGAAAAAAGTGACTTATGTTTTATTCATCACCATAATATTACTTTTGCTCAGTCGTTCACTTGGAAATATTTGTGCTGAATATTTAAAAGGTGATTTTTTTTTATATTGAGTATTAAACACTTTGCATTTTTTACTCTGAAAACACATTTAGGAATTTTTTTTTATTTAGAATTTTAGTTTAGTAGAAATTTTAAGTGTACATTTTCAAAGTGACAAATTCAGCTGCATTTAAATTTCTAAATCTGATGAAACAAATTATCTTCCATATTTCTTCTTTTCTGTCTCTGTCAGCTGCACCTTAAGACACAAAGAGTCACTTTTGTTTTTTTAAATCAGCTCCTAAATCTCAGCTGTTCACTTCAGTGTTTCTCTGTGTGATTAACTTTGACGTTTTAGTGTCTCGTGTGTTTTTATGTGTCTTATGTTTGTCGTTATCTGTGTCTATTTTATGATATTTTATAATTATTGTTGTCAGGTCTGTTGTTTTTAAAGAGAAATAGAAATAAAGTCAGATTAGACTCGTGTTTTCAGATGTTTAATGACGAGTGACACAAACGTTTAAAGTTTAAATCAGTGAAGTGACATTAAATATATTAAACACTCTTTTATCTTCTTCTCCAAACCCACAACCCAAAGCCCCGTGACACAGTCCATTCACGCTCCAGTGTCCCTGCGACGGTCTGTCAGCAGGTCTGGTCCAGACCTGGTCCAGACCTGGTTCAGAGTCTTTTCAGGGTCTATTTCCAGGTCAGTTTTGTCAAGTTTGTTTTGGTCTTTTGGTTTTTTGTTGATTGCAGCTGTTGAACATTGAAGAACTGTCTGTACAACCTGGTTCAGTCCTGATTTAGTCCTGGTTTAGACCTGATTTAGACCCGGTCCAGACCCGGTTCAGGCACAGGCCGCCCTCTGCTGCCGTCTCTCGTTGTAGCCGTTGTAAACCTCTAAGAACATGTCCCTGCAGGCGATCTGGGCCTTGAGTTTGGAGCAGATGAGGAAGGAGCCGGCCATCTTGCGGTGGAGCGAGTAGGTTTCCTCTGGGGGCGGAGTCAGGCGGTGGCGAAGCATCACGGGGATCAGACTCTGGATCCTCTGAGTCGTGTCCTGGGTCCCGAAGTCGAACGGATCGGAAGACGAGAACGCTTCGCCCAGAATCATGACGGCCTCGACGTGAGCCTCCTCCATCGCCTGCAGAGACAGAGAGAAAACCTGAGTGAAAACACAACTAAAGACACACTCTGGAACTTTTCTGGTGCCGGGTCTGCCTCCTGCTGTTCTCCTGGAGTTTTTTATCACAAAGAACATTCAGTGTTTTCAGCTCCGCCCTCCAGCTGTCATCAGGGATTCACAGAACTATAGTTTAGATTTATTGCTTTGCATGGAATATTATTAGTCTGATTCATCAGCTGGTTTCACTTCGTAGAAACCGTGTGACCTCGCAGCATTAGGATTTGTTCGCTCGACAGTTGGCAGGTACTTTTTTATTTAACCAATCTCTGTTATTTTGTTGTGACGTATGTAATGCTCCACTAACAGGAACAGGAAGTAACTGGTATATTAAGTTTTTCCCAAATCCCGTCAGAAGAACAACAATAACGTCTTTCCGCTTGATAAAATTCACCAAACGTTCTCTTTGTTTCAGCTTTAAACCCTCGATCTGGGGAATGGATGACAACACTGAATGTCTGTCTCTTCTCTGATTGGCTGGTGCCCGAACTCACACTTCTGTCTAGTGTTTTCTGATTCCTGATCTAGTCGCTGCAGAGAAATGAAATTGAGCGGAGGCACTAGGTGACTCCAGCCGGGCTAAGAATATTCCACAGTGTGACATTAAAATCTCATGGTGCATTAGAAGGCAGGAGGCAGGGAGTCTCTCCGGGCGGGTGGAGAGTCTGTCTCAAGTGGAGGAGTTCAAGTCTGTCGGGGTCTTGTTCTGGAGTGAGGGGAGGATGGAGCGTGAGACTGACAGGTGGACAGGTGCAGCGTGGGCAGATTGACAGGTGGACAGGTGCAGCGTGGGCAGATTGACAGGTGGACAGGTGCAGCGTGGGCAGATTGACAGGTGGACAGGTGCAGCGTGGGCAGATTGACAGGTGGACAGGTGCAGCGTGGGCAGATTGACAGGTGGACAGGTGCAGCGTGGGCAGATTGACAGGTGGACAGGTGCAGCGTGGGCAGTGATGCGGTCGCTGTATCGGACTGTTGTGGTTAAGTCAGTCTCTGTTCCTCCTCTCAGCTCTGGTCATGACCGACCGAACAAGATCACAGATACAAGTGACACAAATGAGTTTCCTCCGCAGGGCGTCTGGGCGTCTCCCTTAGAGACAGAGTGAGGAGCTCAGTCACACCGGAGGAGCTCGGAGTAGAGCCGCTGCTCCTTCACGTGGAGAGGAGCAGCTGAGGGGAGGACGTCTGTCCTGATGCCTCCTGGACGTGTCCCTCAGGAGGTGTTCTGGGCAAGGCACAGCAGGAGGAGACCCCGAGGAAGACCCAGGACACGCAGGAGGGACAATGTCGTCAGGAACGTCTCGGGGTTCGTCCGGAGGAGCTGGAGGAAGTGAGTGGAGGGAAGTCTGGGCTAGAGCCCTGCACCTGCGGGATCCAACGTAAAACAGTGCAGCGCGGGACACATTTGGAAAACTCATTGCGGGTGGGAGAGCAAACTAAATATGAATGTAAAGTAAAATACATAAATGATTCATTTCATTTATTCGTTTGCATATCTAACATCATTTGTGGTGGATATTTTATTTGGCATTAATAAAAACTCTTTACGCAGACTAAACTTGAGTATGTGGTCTAATCTTGTGCACATTTTAGACCATTCCTTTCCACTTCTCCATGTTTGATGGAGCTTAAGAAAGAGAACGTCCTCTTCTTACAGGATTTGCGGGCGGAAACAGGACAAAATATGACAGATACAGGCGAGTGTGGGAATGAGAATTACAGTTCTTTGCAGGAGCGGGACTGCACAGAGCGGCAGCGACGGGAGCAGAACTGAAAATACAGTCCCACACAGACCTCTAGTCTGGGCCAGACTCTGGTCACAGGTGATCGGGTCGTTCAGCAGCAGTGGGAAAATACAAGAGTCCATCTGTGCAGGTGAAGTGATTTTACCTTCGCCTCAAACCCTGTGAGGAACTTCATGTCTCTGGACTTTTTCAGGACTGTGTCTCTGTCTCCCACCGACGCTGCGTGAACCACCTGACAACAAACACACATTTTACACAATTTACGACACTGTAATCCTGAAATACTAAATGTAAAATGCATTTTTACCTCTATGTAATCGTCAGTGAATTTCTCATCGTAGCTTCTGCACGCGCCAAAGTCCAACAGATAAACCTGCAGCAGAAACACCAACAGAACATTTCAGGACGCAGAGTTAAAACTTCAGGACGCTGAGTTAAAACTTCAGGACGCAGAGTTAAAACTTCAGGACGCAGAGTTAAAACTTCAGGACGCTGAGTTAAAACTTCAGGACGCTGAGTTAAAACTTCAGGACGCAGAGTTAAAACTTCAGGACGCAGAGTTAAAACTTCAGGACGCAGAGTTAAAACTTCAGGACGCTGAGTTAAAACTTCAGACGTTTAAAACTTCAGGACGCTGAGTTAAAACTTCAGGTTAAAACTTCAGGACGCAGAGTTAAAACTTCAGGATGCAGAGTTAAAAGTTTCATTATGATTATCTGTGTATTTACGTTGTTTGTGTCGGCGTTGTAGAAGAAGTTGGCCCAGTTTGGATCCGTCTGCATGAACCTGAACTCGAACAGCTCTCGGAGACACAGCTGCAGGATTTTAAAGCAGATCTGAGGAAAGAGACGAGACACGTTAGAGACGAGACCGAGACTGATCTGCCTCTTTTTCTTCTGACTTAAAGGTTGTATAGAGGATTTTTTTAAGGGAAGAGAAATACAGCGACAGTCCTTGTGCGTATTCAGGATTACTGTTGAAGTGACCTGTCTCGAAGTAATTCAGCGACCAACGCGTCCGTTTTTAGACCCTTCGTCTGCTTCGGTCGCGCCATCACTGGACGAGATCTCCAAGAATCACCTTTCTTGTTTGGCTTTGCTCCTTTTCCCCTTCTCTTCTTCTTTCAGCGACCTCAAAAATGGACTTTCTTTTGCGGCGAACCGGTCGTGGATTCTCGTCCGCCATCGCAACAAACTTTGTGCAAAATGCGAGGAAGCGACAGTTCGAAAAAGCCTCTAAGAACCGCTGCGTAAACCACGTAATCCCCGCGCTCCGACGAGTCAGTTACACTAGGGAGTTTGATTGACAACCCAACAGCCAATAGAAAATGAGGGAGCCTCGTTTTCTATTGGCTGATGTTTATCTGGCCTCAACACGTCCACAGTTGATAGATTTTCGTTCTTTTTTTTTTTGGTCATCATAATTACAAAGCTGCTGCGTCTCTGTAATGGTATTTTAATCTTTCACTGACAGTTTGAAACAAAAAAAAAATCCTCCATACAACCTTTAAGGAACACTCGAGGTGCTGCTGAAAACGGGTCTACACAAACTCCTTCTCCAGTTTGTTCTGCGGATATGTCAGACCTGGTTCCTGGTCTCCTGGTCCAGGTCCACGCAGGAGTCCAGAGGAACCCCCTGCACCAGCTCCATGGACAGAACTCTGCTCCCCGAGAGAGAGTCCACCACCCCGGGCACGCGGAAGAACGGGTCCCCCTCCAGCAGAGACCTGAGGGAAACACCGACCGTAAACACCACCACAAACAAGTCCAGTCTGCAGGAGAGGAGCTTTCCAAGAGCCGTGTTCTACAAGTTTCTTCTCACTGACCCTCTGAAGTTGTGTTTGGACTGATTCACTGAGGACACACTTCAGAAATTAAATCAAAGAGAAGCTTTCTGGATTCATAAATGAAGAGCAGGAGAACATTCTGGTCTGAATGAGGATTTTGATCTGTCTTGTTTTTATAAATCTTATGTGCACTTTTAATCATTATTTTTATTGTTCATTTTTTTCAATTGAGTTAATATTGTTTGTTTAATTTTTATTTTATTTTATTTTTTTGCCGTGCCGTGCTGCGAGTCTTGTACCTGTCTTGTTTACTCTCTTACTCTCTGGATTTTAACACCGCGTGAGCTTCTGGTCTTTTGTGTCTTTTATTTCATTTTATTTATTTATTATTTATTTCCTGCCTTAGTCCTGCTTTAGTCCTGCTTTTAGTCCTGCCTTAGTCCTGCCTTAGTCCTGCCTTAGTCCTGCCTTAGTCCTGCCTTAGTCCTGTTTTTTAGTCCTGTTTTAGTCCGGCCTTAGTCCTGGCCTTTAGTCCTTAGTCCTGTTTTTAGTCCCGCTTTAGTCCGCTTTAGTCCTGCTTTAGTCCTGCGCTTTAGTCCTGCCCTGTCCTTTAGTCCTGCCTTAGTCCCGCTTTAGTCCCGCTTTAGTCCTGTTTTAGTCCTGCCTTAGTCCCGCTTTAGTCCCGCTTTAGTCCTGCTTTAGTCCCGCTTTAGTCCCGCTTTAGTCCGGCCTGTTTTAGTCCTGTTTTAGTCCTGCTTTAGTCCCGCTTTAGTCCCGCTTTAGTCCTGTTTTAGTCCTGCGTCCTTTAGTCCTGCTTTTAGTCCTGGTCCTTTTAGTCCTGCCTTTTAGTCCTGGCCTTTAGTCCTGCTTTAGTCCTGCCTTTAGTCCTGGTTTTAGTCCTGGTTTTAGTCCTGTTTTAGTCCTGTTTAGTTTTTAGTCCTGTTTTAGTCCTGCTTTAGTCCTGCTTTAGTCCTGCTTTAGTCCTGTTTTAGTCCTGCTTTAGTCCTGTTTTAGTCCTGCTTTAGTCCTGCTTTAGTCCTGCTTTAGTCTTTTAGTCCTGCTTTAGTCCTGCCTTTAGTCCTGTTTAGTCCTTTTAGTCCTGTCTGTCCTGCTTTAGTCCTGCTTTAGTCCTGTTTTAGTCCTGTTTTAGTCCTGGTTTAGTCCTGCTTTAGTCCTGGTGTGTTTCTTCTGCTCAGTAAATAAATCCTGTGAAGTTTTGACAGTCGAGTCGTGAACTCGTGTTCGTACTAAAGAAAGTTGAACCGTTTAATTTCATTTCGTGATTGTGATTCTTGAAGTCGTAACTTTTCATTTCGTGTTCTGACGGACGCTTCAGTCAGAATGATTTACTTTGTGTGTGATTTAAATGTTAAAGGGTCCGGGTGGGTGCGGTGCTGGACGCAGAAAACGCCGCTGCCTGTGAAGGTAACATGAAGTTCTGATGTTAAATGAACATGAGTGAGTGGGATTTGTCTTAACGACCTGGATGTGTTAACTCTTCCCCCCTGGACGCCGACGAGGAACAACCCAGACATACATGACCAGGGCTAAACATAGAGCACAACTGCATAAAAGAAAACACTTCCACGAGTGATTATAAATGATTTTTACACTTAGAAACTTAATTGAAACAGACATATTTGTATCTCTGGAAACTTTAGATTCTGAACTCTTCATTTCTGGATGTTTAAATGTGATTCAACTCATTTACAGGTTTATAACAACTCACTGAAAATAAAGAGTTTACCTGCTCAGGTGCAAAATCGAAAACAAAAAACTACATTCAGCATCTGATATCTGCATGTTCTGAGTACTATATTCATAAAAAAAAATTAAATATACTTTGTCAAAGTATTTAAACAGATTTCATATCACCAGATACAGTAGAGCCAAGTGTTCACCTGTTTTTACCTGTGGTTCACCTGTGTGCACCTAATTCATTTTTTCCATTTAACTTATTCAACTCATTTATCTTATTATAATATAATAATATAAAAATAAAACTCTTCCTCGTCAGTGGGCGTCCAGTATTTATCATCTTGGTCACTTTCTCGTGCGCAGAGCTTCCCATAAGTGTTTGTTTCTGTAGTGATTCTGTTATACATCACATCTTGGACAAAAAGACTGAAATATTTTAAAGGACTCGCCTGAGCAACATCCAGATTTCAGGGCAATTTTGGTTCATAATCGAGTATAAAGTCCCGGATAGTTTGTTCGGATATCACATTCTCATCTTCATAAGTTTCACTCTCTGAAAGTCCATCTCCGTCACTCTCGATAAAAGTCACTTTCTCTAAACTTATCCATAAAATACAGCCGCTTCTCATTAGTTCTAAAACTGCGCCGCGATCTTTCCATTGCTCGTGTTTTGTTTTTTCCGGAAGCTACCATCGTCACTACTTCGATTAACTTCGGAAAAAATCGGCAAAAACACATCCTTGAATCCTATTGGTCAGTCTAGTGTGAGTTGTAGTGGCCCCGACCAATCACAGCCTCTGTTTACATGTGAAAAACCGAACTGTTTCTAATGTTCATCAAATCACGTCTTTAGTGCAACAGCGGAGGAGTCAAAACACGTCATTAAGGAAACAAGGGGAACGTCAAATGTCGTCTTCATGGGGGAAAGAGTTAAATGCAGGTGAGTGAGTAAATGACGAGAAGAAACGTCTAAAACTTCAGTAGCCGAACGTCCACTCACACCTGATCCGTACACCTGTCCCCCCGGTTTGTGATTGTGATTTAAAATGTCCAAATAACAACAAGAATGATCCACTGAGGAAACGAGAAGTGTAAAGCTCCAAACCTGAACTTCTTGGCGCACTCGGCCTCTCTCCTGTAGTCACACTCCCAGCTCAGCTCCTTCTGCAGCACCTCCAGACTGCTGTCCGCAAACAGACCTGACACACACACACACACACACACACACACGTTCAACATCCATTTTGTCTCTAAATGAAGACATGAACATTAAAAACAGATCAATTCTTTCCCCGAGCTCAGTTTGATTGACAGCGTGGCTAAGTGGCCAACATGGATCTATTCAAATAACTGGAGGGTGTTAATGTTTGTATGGCTCTTGAGTTCACATTCCCACTCTTTTTCAAAGTTTCAAAACTTTTCCATGACTTTTTCATGAGCTGAAGTGAATTTTCCATGACTTTACAGCACCTACATGTGTAGAACTGATCAGACTTTTAGGGTTAAATCTGAAATGTTTAACTCTTTCCACTCACTTTATGTGGTTTGGGATTATAGGTTTTAAACATTCAAAATCCTGTCAGTTCATTTATTGTCGTCTCTTTTAAACAAAAGACTCAGACGTTCTCAAATAATACGAACAGTCTCATGAGAACTTAACAGAACGCTGGAGTTGCGAGAAAGAGAGACTTTTCCAGGCCTAGAAAAATCACATTTTCCAGGATTTCCATGACCGTGGGAACCCTGTGAGTTGATGTAGTGACACTAACTGAAACTTCAGTGAAAAAATCCCTCCTACTCAGAAAGGATTTTTCTCATAAAGCACAATGTAATCACAAACTGCACGTGTTCGGCTGACAGGAGCTGACAGGGACAGACAGGGACAGACAGGGACTGACAGGGACTGACAGGGTACTTACAGCTTTCAAAAAGGTCGAATTTTTACTACAATTTTTACCTATTTTTAGATCGATGGCGAGGAGAAAATTCAGTTTGTCGACTGGACAAAAGTTAGTTTTAACACCGAGCCACAAACAAAACAATGTGGTCGACTCCATTCAGTGCAGTGAAGACTGAAGTGAACACCACATTGGAGAAACTCAACAGACACTTCACAAGAGGATGAACCAACACAGACGAGAGAGCAACACAGGACCTCAGTCTCATGTACATCTCCACCTAAAAGCCACAGGCCGCTCATTTGAGGACAGTGAGGTACAGATTTTAGTCAGAGAAAAGAACTGGTTCGAGAGGGAAGTGAAAGAAGCCATTTGTGTTCAGAAAGAGAATTCTTCTCTAAACAGAAATGGAGACTCAGACACCAACTATCTCCTATTTACAACTCCATCCTCAAACCAAAATCAAAACAAACAAGAACAACAGGTGTATCCAGGTCAGGTCCAGAGGTGTGGAAGCTTCATTATGGCCATGATTAGACCCTCACACCCTGTACAGGTCAATAGGCCGAACTAACAAACACAAACTGTAAACAAGTGTGTGTTAGTTTCAGAGGAGTTTCAGTGTAGTTAGCTCCTCCCTGCAGACAGATATAAGGAAGTGTCCACCAGCGTCTGACCAGAACTGAAGAAGCAGCTTGGATGAGCTGCGAAACGTCTTCAACCAAACTCACTTTTGTCCAGTCGACAAACTGAATTTTCTCCTCGACCTGGATTCTACCTGCACGACTGAGGGATTCTTCACACTATTTTTAGATCATAAACTTTCTCAGCTCAAAATCCTTCACTTGTCTTAAAAACAGCTTTTTACTCGTCAGTTCTGACTCCGCTCTGCTCCTCTCGCTCTGATTGGTCAAAGTGGTCACGTGCGTTGGCGTGCGCCCGCGGGAGGAAACGGCAGGACTGAGCAGGGAGACACCTGAAGCACCTCACCGCTAATCATGACATGAACCACTGAGCTTGGCCCACTGACTTGAACGGACGGACACGGGTTTGGAACGTCACCTCTTGCCAAAGCGAAAGGAAAAGGGGAACGTAACTTCAACAGCCTCGCTCCGGATTGGCTCTTTGGTTGCTACGATACTCGGATTTCCACATATGGTCCCTATAACTGCTGCTCGCCTGGAGCCCAACGCCGTGGACGACTTCACACTCACTCTGTCCTCTTCTTCACATCGTCCGTGGAGGTGACTCGGTGCTGTTCTGATGCGAATCCCGACTCAGTTTCACATTTGGAGAAAGAAGCTCTCGGTGAATACAGCAAACACCAACGCCGAGCTCCAGAATTAAACTCCACTCATTCCCTGTGGACCGGGCGAACCACAGGGACTTACAGGACCATTAAATAAAACTACAGAGACGGAGCGACTGAACCGCTTTAGGGCAATTTAAACCGTCGCAATTAACACATTTAAAAAAGAACTTAAACTAGGGCTCGCAGTAGTGACGGGCGAACGGAGCCTCGTGAAGCATTGACACCTTAAAGTTTGTATGGAGGATTTTTTTTTTTGTTTAAAATTGTCATTGAAAGTTTAAAATACCATTACAGAGACGCAGCAGCTTTTAATTATGATGACCGAAAAAAAAAAAAAGAATGAAAATCTATCAGTTGTGGAGGCAGTGAGGCCAGATAAACATCAGCCAATAGAAAACGAGGCTCCCTCTTTTTCTATTGGCTGTTAGGTTGTCAGTCAAACTCCCTACATTTTTAGTGTAACTGACTCGTCGGCGCTCAGGGATTATGTGGTTTATGCAGCGGTTCTTTGAGGCTTTTTCAAACTGTAGCTTCCTTGCAGTTCGCACAAAGTTTGTTGCGATGGCGGACGAGAATCCACGACCAGTTCACCGGAAAAGAAAGTCCGAAGGGTCTAAAAACTGAACACTAAAATATTTCTCGGCAGGTAACTTCAACAGTGATTCTGAACATGCACTGGATGTAAACAAATGTGATTTCTAGAGTAAAGAGGCGGGAGGAGGAGATGTTTCTACTGAAACATGCACAACATTTGAAAAAGGACTGTCATTGTATTTCGCTTCCCTTAAAAAATCCTCTATACAACCTTTAAGTCGCAATATTGTCTCAAATGGTTCGATGTGTCTGAGGCCTCGGAGAAACACTGACCTCTAGTGGACAAATTTAACCATTCCACTTGTAGATGCCGTCGAAAATGAGACAAATGCCAAAAGTCGCCAAAATCACCACTAACGTCACACAATACTCCTCACTACCCAACATTTTTAACAAATATTGGTGCATCTTTTATACTGTAGCAGTTTAGCGCTCGTCAAACCACGGAAGTGCACTGAACACACTGAACCAATCGCAGAGCGGAACATTCGCTTCGATACGCTGAAGCGATGGACACGCAGAGGGAAGCAGTAACTGGGGGAGGGACCCACACTTCCACACTTCGGTCACGTGAGCGGCTGCTGCGAGACGAGCTCCGAGGCAGCGCTTCAGAGCGATTTGTTTCAGAAAGAACGAGACGAGCTCCGGAGCTGCGTCTCATTTGCCCGTCACTAGTTCCCGCTCTTTTTCACTCACACATTTTCAAAACTTTTCCATGACTTTTTCTTGAGCTAAAGTGAATTTTCCATGACTTTTACAGCACCGACATGTGTAGAATTGATCAGATTTTTAGGGTTAAATATAAAATGTGAACTCTTTCCACTCACCTTATGGTTTGGGATTATAGTTTTTAACATTCAAAATCCTGTCAGTGCATTTATTGTCTCTTTTGTCGTCTCTTTTAAACAAAAAGGCGCAGACGTTCACAAATAATCAGAACAGTCTAATGAGAACTTAACATAGAGCTTCTCAATTATGGAAAAAATCATTATCACGATTATTTTGGTCAGTATTGATATTATTCAAACGATTATTTTTTAGTTACATGATGCATTTAATCAGCATTTCTCTCTCTCAAAAAAAAAAACCAACACACTTTGTTATTGATAATTTACGCTAAACTTTCAAATTTAAAATAAATTCAGGCTACAAATCTGAACCTTAGAGCATTTTTGCGATGTGTAAAACATAAAATGAATAAAATAAACTTAAAATAAGGCAGAAAAACAAAAATGTATCCAAAATAAACTCTATATCCAGCTGTTCTACAATCTCTATATTTAAAAATAAAATAAATACACTTATAAAAAAAAAAATTCCAAAATAAACTCGACTTTTAAGATTGTACGACACACAAATCGAAATCGTGATCAAAATTAAATTAATTGCACAGACTTAACAGAACGCTGGAGTTGTGTGAAAGAGACACTAAAATTCCATGACATCTCCAAAACTTTCAGTGAATTTACAAACTTTCCATGACTTTTCCAGGATTTCCATGACCGTGGGAACCCTGATAAACTTGCCTGTGAGTCAGATGCCCTCCCTCGTGTGTCAATAATCGTTTAAACATCGTAATTAAAAACATTTTCTAATTTAAGCCCATTTCGTGTAGTACTTGAACTCACCATCGGGGAGCACCACACTCATCCTCAGCACAGACATGAGGTTGTTGATGTCACTGTGGATGCTCTCGGCGACTCCAGGATACTGCACGACATCGACACAAAACACAAACACAAACACAAACACAGGAGAAACCATTAAAGACACTGGACCGGATTTTCACTTGGTTTTGTCTTAAAAACGTGGAAAAAACAGTGAAAGTTTTATGTTTAATGAAGGTTTAAAAGATGCACTGTGGAACTTTTCGGTTGGGGGTCCTTCACCTGTCACTGATCTGTCCGGAATGTTCCACAGTGTGACATTAAACAGCTCTACTTTCTATTTATTCAATCACAGGTGGTTTTAAAGCTCAAAAATACCAAGAAAAACAAACATTCTGACTGTGAGTGGGTTCGCCTCTCCACAGATCTGACCTGTAACTTGTTCCAGTTTGGTCTCCATGAAGATAAGAATAAGATTTAACTTTCTCTCCAAACAAACACGACCATTATTTTACGTTATAAATGTGAAAAGTCCAAAAGCCTCCAAAGGTGATTTTAACGGGTCACATTGACCCAAAGATTTTTTTCCCTTCCCGCTCTCTTGGGGCGGGTCAATCAGACCCAAAAATGTATTTTCAAATAAATTCTCGCCAGGCGAGAAAATAATTTTTTGGGTCTGATTGACCCGCCCCAAGAGAGCGGGAAGGGGAAAAAAAATCTTTGGGTCAATGCGACCCCGAGGAGAGCGTGAGGGTTAAATGCCCGTACCTGTATTTTCATGGCGATTTCTCTTCCGTCCTTGAGCACGCCGTGATGCACCTGCCCGATGGACGCCGCCGCAAACGGTTTCTCCTCAAACGACTCCAGCTGATCTCTCCAGCCGGGCCCCAGGTCGTCCTCCAGGACTTTCTGAACACAGGGAACACGACACGGGATCAGAGGGACAGATCTGCACTGTTCACACATCAATATATCATATCATAACAGAGAGAAAATATATAAATGATAATAATAAATTCTACTGTATTTTTCGGACTATAAGTGTCACTTTTTTCACGGTTTGTGTGTTTCTGGTGTGACTTCTATATTAAAATGTTTTTGGTGAAGCGTGGAGAGGTTCTAGTCTTGTGTGTGAGGATCTGCTGCTCCTCTGTCACTTCACTCTACTGCGCATGTCTCCTGCAGAAAGAGCCTCTGTTCTGTCTGGATCATGTCAGTCGATCGCACCGTTACTTCTGACAATTTAACATTTAAACAAACTTATAAACACGACTGAGAAGACTGAACACAAACGCCCCTGAAAACAAAATCAGATGTTGTCGATTACAAACTGTAAATCGTGAAATCTGCAGCTGAAAACGGAAATCGAGCAGCAGAAAGAAAGTTTGGAGTGAGAGAGAAACTTGTGACACCGGGAGGATGCACCGTGAAACTTTCCTGAAGTCACTGGACGGATGGACAAAGTCTGGACTTCAGCGACACCGAAACCATCCTGTCGGGATTCAGAAAGACCCCAATAATTCTGTACATATAACCAGGTCTAACCCTCGTCTAAACAAAGTCTGAACAAGGTCTAAACTAGGTCTAACCAAGGTCTAAGCCAGGTCTAAACCAGGACTAAACCAGGTCTGAACTGGAAGCTGTCCTAAATCAAGTCTAGGTCTAACTGAGGTCCAAACCATAATAAGAATCAGGACCTGTATTAAACCAAGTCAAAGCCAGATCTAAACATGGTCTAAACCAGGTCTAACCCATGTTTAACCCAGGTCTAAACCAGTTCCAACCCGAGGTCTAAACCAGGTCTAACCCAAGGTCCTTCGGTGACACCAAAACCATCCTGTCGGGATTCAGAAAGACCCGAATAATTCTAACTGGAACTGATGCTGAGTCTGACGACAGCGACACAGAAGAGTTTGCGTCGCTCTGTTTACCTCCGGAGGTCGAGGCCGAGTTGCTCAGAAGTGACACCGAGGACTAGGGGTGGGCGATATATCGATATTGTAAATATATCGAGATAGTTTTTAAACTGGATATAAATTCTGACATATCGTATATATTGATATAATGCTTATATTCAATTCTGATTTCGCCGTTTCGCTTGTTTATCTTGTTTATCTTCTCTCTCGTCGCCTCCGCCTCCCTGATTTTGTTCGCTCGTGTCTCCTTCACTCGTCATTGTCGCCGTGAACGCAGAAAGTTGTTGCCAGTGAAAAGCTTCAAGCACCACGAACCTTTTCCACCATTTACAGACAAAACCATCAGCAGCACATCCTCATATTCCACTGAGTCACGTCCTTTAGTCCGAAAGAAGCTAAACGAGCTGAGCTGCAGGAGAAGTGCTGTTTATGCAATTGAGTCATGAGCTTAAGTTTCGTTTCTGTAAAATGTAAACACACGTGCGCAAAACTGCAATAAACACATTATTACTCAAACGGGCTGATGTGGCTCTAGAGTCGTTATGCTTTATTTATTGTAAAGTTTAGTCATGTAAATTATATTTATGCAGAAGATTTTAATGAATAATCTGCTGCAGTGTCACTTGTACAACAGTGTTTAGAAACGTTGGGTTTGATCTGCAGTGGATTGTGGGATTAAACCTCAGATCCTGACGCTGGAACATGGATCTGTTAAAATAAAGAACCTCTGAGCTTCTTCTGCTAAATGAGCTCATGGTTATGATTATGGTCTGGATAACAGAGTTAATGCAAAGATGAGCTTGTGTTGAGCTGTTTTATTTATGAATGAAACAAAGGAAATATGTTTTATTTCTTTTATTTGACAGTTCAATTATTATTTATGTAATTAGTGTTTTTTGTAATCTTAAATGTTCCTGTATGAACTGCTGACCTCTTACACTTTAATAAAAAAAAAAAAGACCTTGTGGAATTTGGCAGATTTGTTTTTGCAGTTTTCAGTTTTAGGGGGTTATTTTTTCTTGAACATATATCGAGATATATATCGTATATCGAGATACAGCAAAACATATCGAGATATATTTTTTGATCCATATCTCCCAGCTCTATCGAGGACGAAGAATTAAACAGATTTAGTGATTTGGAGTGAGATGGAGAGTTGTTTATGTTACAGTTTAATCTGAAGAACTGTTCATATGTGACGTTAACAGTCTGTTCTTCTCTCTTCTGTTGTTATTACTAGAACTTCACTTTACACAGGAAACGTCTGCTCCTGCTCTCTCATTTTATCAAATAAATTTCCCACAAAAAGTGCGATTTATAGTCCAGGCACAAGTTCTTCTTCATTACACATTTTTTGGCTGGTGCAATGAAAAATAATGTCTTGTCTTTGCACTGTTTTTCCTTAAAGACCTCTTGTATATAACTATAATCTACTTGTATTACTATATTTCTATTTTTACACATACATTCATATAATTTTGCCTTATTTGACACCTGTGTTTTGATATTTTTGCTACTTATTTAGAATTTATTATCACCATTTATACTTTTACTCTTTGTTATTATATTATATTGTGATGTGTGAGCTGCTGTGTCTTTAACATTTTCTTTAACATTACCTTTTATTTTGATACGATCATAAAAATTTAAATTATTATTAGTTTATACAACCAAAAACTGAAAAAAGGTATCTTAAAGGTTGTATAGAGGATTTTCCAAGGAACGAGAAATCCAGCGACTGTTTGTCCTTTTTCAAATGTTGCGCATGCCTGAAACCACCTCCTCCCCTACAGCTCCTACGTAGAAACGCCTCCTCCCTCCTCCTCCTTACGCCACAAACAGGTTTGTTTACAGCCGGTGCGTTGCACATGACTTGTAAACAACTAACTACAGTGTTGGTTAGGCAAGACGGAGAAGTGAGGAGCGGGGGGGGGGGGGGGGGGTGTGCGGACATTTCGTTCGCGGACGAGAAGTGAGGAGGAGGGGGAAGAGCGGATCGGGCAGCGGGGACAGGAGCAGGAAAGGGGTGCAGAGAGTGCGCGGAGAAGAGTGCGCGGAGAAGAGTGCGCGGAGATTCCGTGCGAATGAACTAGCTACAACACGCAGCAGCAAGTGGACTCTTTCTTTGCCTTGAAAATTATGTTTTCAGACATAGGATATCGCTTTCGTGTCCTGAAAAACGTTTGTCTCGCTCTTGGAAATAAAGTACGTTTTCATAATAAGCAGAAGTTTCCTGTCCAGGAGTAATTTGTGGACCAGTGGTTCAGTCTTTAGACCCTTCGTCTGCTTCAGTCGCGCCATCGCTGGAATGAATCTTCAAGAATCACCTTAGTTTGGTTTCGCTGCTTTTCCCCTTGTCTTCTTCTTTCAGCGACCTCAAAAACGGACTTTTTTTTGCGGCGAACTGCTCCTGGATTCTTGTCACCATTGCAACAAACTTTGTGTTAACTGCGAGGAAGATATAGGTCAAAAAAAGCCGCTAAGAACTGTTGCGTTGGTGGAGTAAACAGCGTCTGTGCGTCTTGCGTCTGTGGACTGCGTGACAGTCGTACGTAAACCACGTACCGGCGGCGCAGGCAAGTCAGTTACACTAGAAACGTAGGGAGTTTGATTGACAGCCTGTCAGCTCACAGATAACGAGGCAGTGTCGTTATCTATTGGCAAATGTTTAGCCCCACCACGTCCAGAGTTGATGAATTTTTTATTCTCTTTCTTTTGGTCATCATAATTACAAGGCGACTGCATCTATAATCTATCACTGACAATTTGAAACAAAAAAAAAATACTCCATACAACCTTTAACAAAAAAAAAAAAAAAAAAGAAAAAAACTGATTGTATTTCTGTTCAAGGGGTTAGTAAGTCTAACATTGTAGAAGCCTTAAAAAAAAAAAAGAAGTAAAGTATAAAGCGATATGTTTTGAAAGATATAGAGCTCTGGAATGAATAATGTGTTAAATTTTGTTTGCAAAATGACCGAATAAACTACTATTATAAATAATTTCTCTTGTATTTCCAAAAAAGTCTGTTTAAGTCCAGGTCTAAATAAGTAGTAAGTATGTACAAGTAAAAATAAAAATACAGAAATATAGTAATACAAATATATCTCCACATACAGGGCGAGGTGAAATAATGATCAGCAATTCAAATGATTGATGTTAAAGGTTCCAAAAATCTCCAAAAAAATCTAATTTAGAGAAACATTTAACCACCGCCAGCGTCTCCGGGTTAAACGTGTATTTCTGTGTCTTACTTTCATTTGCCAGACGGGCATGAAGTCTGCGCTCTGTCTCACTCTCTCGAAGATCTTCTGCAGCTGAGGATTTATGAAAGAGTTATCTGAAAAATAAAAAACAAACACACAAAATATAAGAACATGAGATTGAACCGTGCACAGCTCAGTTTATCTAAAAAAAACACAAAACAGACGTGATACAGGGAGGAGAAGCGTCTCACTGTCACAGGTTCTCAAACTTTTCACACCAACCAGGCAGCGTTTGGTTTTCAAAGCTCCTCCAGGTCTAAACCCGGACTTTATCAGACCTAAACGGGACTAAACCAGGTCTAAAACCAGACTAAAAAAATCAAGTGAGGAGTTTCCGGTGACGACATAATAATAATCATCATATTTAATACAGATGTGGGCAGATAAAAGTGTTAGAATGCAAAATTTCAGCTGCAGGGTCTGGTCCAAGGTGAGGAGAAAGGACAGGTGTGGGGAAAGGACAGGTGAGGGGAGGGGACAGGTGAGGAGAAAGGACAGGTGTGGGGAAAGGACAGGTGAGGGGAAAGGACAGGTGAGGGGAGAGGACAGGTGAGGGAGGGGCCAGGTGAGGGGAGGGACAGGTGAGGGGAGAAGACAGGTGAGGGGAGGGGACAGGTGTGGGGAAAGGACAGGTGAGGAGAAAGGACAGGTGAGGGGAAAGGACAGGTGAGGGGAGGGGACAGGTGTGGGGAAGGACAGGTGAGGAGAAAGGACAGGTGAGGAGAAAGGACAGGTGAGGGGAGGGACAGGTGTGGGGAATGGACAGGTGAGGAGAAAGGACAGGTGAGGAGAAAGGACAGGTGAGGGGAAAGGACAGGTGAGGGGAGGGGACAGGTGTGGGGAAAGGACAGGTGAGGAGAAAGGACAGGTGAGGAGAAAGGACAGGTGAGGGAGAGGACAGGTTAGGGGAGGGGACAGGTGAGGAAAAACAACAGGTGAGGGGAGAGGACAGGGGAGAGGACAGGTGAGGAGAAAGGACAGGTGAGGGAGAAGACAGGTGAGAGGAAGGGACAGGTGTGGGGAAAGGACAGGTGAGGGGAAAGGACAGGTGAGGGAAAGGACAGGTGAGGAGAAAGGACAGGTGAGGGAGGGACAGGTGAGGGAGGGACAGGTGAGGGGAGGAGGACAGGTGAGGGGAGGAGACAGGTGAAGAGAAAGGACAGGTGAGGGGAGGGGACAGGTGAGGAGAAAGGACAGGTGAGGGGAGGGACAGGTGAGGGGAGGAGACAGGTGAGGGGAGGGGACAGGTGAGGGGAAAGGACAGGTGAGGGGAGGAGACAGGTGAAAGAGAAAGGACAGGTGAGGTGCGGAGTCAGATCCAACATTTGTGCAAAGGACAAAAACATTTACAGATTTTTGTCAAAATAAAACAAATATTCAAAATCTGCCAACAGTGTCGCGTGCCACAGTTTGAGAAGCACTAGTGTAGAACAAACAGACAGTAGATGTTAGTTTTATATTTGGACGTGGAGGAGCGCTGACGTCTCGTACACTGGACACAGATCAAGTTGACGTCTACAGATAAAACACAAACATGTGTCCACGTGTGCGTCGTTACCCTGGATACTGAGCATCTGTCCGATCTTGAGCGCGGCTCCTCTCACTTTACACAAAGTGCTGACGATTCTCTCGGCGTTGGCTTCAGAGAGAAGAGGAGAGTCCAGCAGAGCGTCTGACACACACCACCAAAACACAACCACAACACACACATTTTATACTTCAGGATTTTATGATTAGAAAATGTGTGTGTGTGTGTCTTTCTGTGTGAGTCTCTGACTTTCTGTGTGTGTGTGTCTTTGTGTGTGTACAGTTGTGTGTGTGTGTGTCTTTGTGTGTACAGTTATGTGTGTTGGGGTTGGATGGTAATACAGTATTACAGTTTCCCGCAGTATCAAAAAGTAGCAACAGAATCAGTTTCATTACCACCATTAAAAAAATCTGCAGCGCATAAGGACCTAATATAATATTAAAATGTATTTATACTTACATTGGTTTGCTCAACACAAATGAATGTGTGGTTGTTTTTTATCACGATTTCAAAATAAGTGTCTATAATGTTTCTTTTAACTGTGTGGATAGAAGACGTTCGATTGGTTTTGTTCCACTGTCACATGACGCTCATAAGAGACCAAGACAAGACGACAAATCTGGCCACAAGATACTTGTACTTCTGCAATTTGCAGCATTTTGGCTTCAGGACACATTTGTTTACATTTTACCCAAACTAAACTTAAAACCACATGACTCATTTGCATAAACTATAAGCGTTGATAAAAACAGCTCTTTCCTCGTGCCCTGATGTGGTTCAGTTTGTGTCGGACTAAAGGACACAGTGACTCAGTGGAATATGAGTGTTTCTGTCGTGTTGGAGATGGTTCATGTGAAACTTTTCAGAGATTATACGTCTGCAGGTCGTACACACAGACTGTACAGCGAGTGAGGCTTCGTAGTTTACCAAAGTCGTACTAAAATATTTTGGTAACACAGTAATACTGTATACTGCGATAATGGTATCAAAATTTGGATATCGCCCAACCCTAATGTGCGCGTGTACAGTACGTGTGTGTGTGTGTGTGTGTCCAGTCGTGTGTCCAGTCGTGTGTCCAGTCGTGTGTCCAGTCGTGTGTCCAGTCGTGTGCACCTCCTTTGCTTTTCCCTCCCAGAGATTGTTTGGCGACTTCAGCGATGGCTCCAATGCCCAAACCCACGGCCAAACCTGCAGAGACACACACACAAACACACACACAAACACAAACACACACACAAACACAAACACACACACACACACAAACACAAAACACACCACACACACAACACAAACACAAACACACACACAAACACAAAACACACACACAAACACACACACACAACACACACACACACAAACACAAAACACACACACAAAACACACACACAAACACAAAACACACACACAAACACACACAAACACACAACACACAAACACAAACACACACAAACACACACACAAACACACACACACACACAACACACACACAACACACACAAACACACACACACACAACACACACACAAACACACACACACACACACACACACACACACACAACACACAACACACAAACACAAACACACACACAAACACACACACAAACACACACACACACACACACACACACACACAAACACAAACACACACACAAACAGAACTGAGACGTTTGTGAGGCTGAAGAACGACTCCAGTTTATGAAATGACTGAAAAAAATCCTCTGACTTTAGTTTATTTCTCCCAAAAACGCTGAACTTTGTGTCAGTTTTTATTTCATGTGAACAGACCCAAGAATTACAGAGACGCCCTGTGAACATAAACCATCTGCACTGTTCCCATTTCACTCTCACCTCCAAAGTTGACGAGTCGGCTGATTCTCGTAGCGGGAACTTTCCTCTCTCGGGCTCGCTCGCTCAACTGTGAAAACAAGAGACGGGCTAACCACTCTGCCACGGCGCTCGGAGGGATCAGGAGCGCAGTACCTTCTGTCTGGCCGGTTTGAGCGAGGGCTGTTTGGTCTCCCGGGCTTTCTTCATGTCCTCCGGGGTGAGCCTGATGGTGTTGTGGACAGATCTGCGCTGGAGGTGGACGAGGGCGGAGGACGTGTGGAGGAACCGAGCGCCGGACCCCCCCAGAGGAGCCGAGCCGGGGGACGGAGAGGAACCTGTGAGGGACGAGCGGGAGAACAGGCGTGGGAGGGCATCTGAGGCGTTTGTGAGCAAATATTTCGGCGCAAATGAGGAAAACAAAACAGACACACGTGCGAGAGTTTTTTAAGGAGAGAATTCACCGAGCACAGACGGAACATGACAAGTTAAACGTTCTAAAACGTATCAAACATTTAGGTGGTAAATGGTCACATTTTTCTATAGCTTTTCCACCTTCAAGGCTCAAAGCTCTTTACAACAAGGAACCACACACACACATTCACTCACACACACACACACCAGTGCACACAGACACTGTGGGCAAGGTGGGTTAAGTGTCTTGCCCAAGGACACAACGGCAGCATTCATCTGTGGGAGCTGGAATCACACCAGCTCCTGTGGGTCAGTGGATCTGACGCTCAACCTGTGATGTTTATGTGGAGAACTGGAATCGAAACCACCAACCTTCAGATCAGTGGGCGAATGCTCCACCAACTGAACTACTGCCGCCCCCTGCACCGGGTCAGGAACACGTCAGGTAGTCCTGGTCTAGTCCTGGTTTAGTCCTGGTTTAGTCCTGGTTTAGTCCTGGTTTAGTCCTGGTTTAGTCCTGGTTTAGTCCTGGTTTAGTCCTGGTCCAGTCCTGGTTTAGTCCTGGTTTAGTCCTGCTGGTACAGTCCTGGTCCAGTCCTGGTCCAGTCCTGGTCCAGTCCTGGTTTAGTCCTGGTTTTAGTCCTGGTTAGTCCTGGTCTAGTCCTGGTCCTAGTCCTGGTTCAGTCCTGGAATCAGTCCTGGTTCAGTCCTGGAAACAGTCCTGGGTTAGTTCTAGTTTAGTCCTGGAATCAGTCCTGGTTTAGTCCTGGAATCAGTCCTGGATCAGTCCTGGAATCAGTCCTGGTTCAGTCCTGGTTTAGTCCTGGTTCAGTCCTGGTTTAGTTCTGGTTTAGTCCTGGTTTAGTCCTGGAATCAGTCCTGGGTTAGTCCTGGTTCAGTCCTGGTTCAGTCCTGGTTTAGTCCTGGAATCAGTCCTGGTCAGTCCTGGAATCAGTCCTGGTTCAGTCCTGGAATCAGTCCTGGATCAGTCCTGGAATCAGTCCTGGAAACAGTCCTGGAAACAGTCCTGGTTAGTCTAGTTTAGTCCTGGAATCAGTCCTGGTTCAGTCCTGGTTTAGTCCTGGTTTAGTCCTGGAATCAGTCCTGGTTTAGTCCTGGAATCAGTCCTGGTTTAGTCCTGGTTCAGTCCTGGTTTAGTCCTGGAATCAGTCCTGGTTTAGTCCTGGAATCAGTCCTGGTTCAGTCCTGGTTCAGTCCTGGTTCAGTCCTGGTTTAGTCCTGGTTCAGTCCTGGTTCAGTCCTGGTTTAGTCCTGGTTTAGTCCTGGTTTAGTCCTGGAATCAGTCCTGGTTTAGTCCTGGTCCAGTCCTGTTCTAGTCCTGGTTTAGTCCTGGTCCAGTCCTGTTCAGTCCTAGTTTAGCCCTGGTTCAGTCCTGGTTTAGACCTGGAATCAGTCCTTGTTTCGTCCTGGAATCAGTCCTGGAATCAGTCCTGGAATCAGTCCTGGTTCAGTCCTGGTTCAGTCCTGGAATCAGTCCTGGTTCAGTCCTGGAATCAGTCCTGGAATCAGTCCTGGAATCAGTCCTGGTTAGTCCTAGTTTAGTCCTGGAATCAGTCCTGGTTAGTCCTGGAATCAGTCCTGGTTCAGTCCTGGTTTAGTCCTGGTTTAGTCCTGGTTTAGTCCTGTTTAGTCCTGGAATCAGTCCTGGGTTAGTCCTGGTTCAGTCCTGGTTTAGTCCTGGAATCAGTCCTGGTTTAGTCCTGGAATCAGTCCTGGGTTAGTCCTGGTTTAGTCCTGGTTTAGTCCTGGTTTAGTCCTGGTTTAGTCCTGGTTCAGTCCTGGTTCAGTCCTGGTTCAGTCTGTGATGTGTTTCTTCTGTTCAGTAAATAAATCCTGTGAAGTTTCGACAGTCGAGTCGCGTCTGTGAGTTTCATTTCATTTCGTGATTGTGATTCTTGACGTCGTAACTTTTCAATTCGTCTCCTGATGGACGCTTCAGTTAGAAACCTTGTAATCTGTGTGTGATTTATCACGGGCCCGGGCGGGTAACGGGAGGAATGTTAACGGGTCCGGGAGGGTTTAACTTTGATATAATCGCGGGTTAACGGGCGGGTGACACACACAGGAGAGCGGGAGGGCATCTGACACACACAGGAGAGCGGGAGGGCATCTGACACACACAGGAGAGCGGGAGGGCATCTGACACACACACAGGAGAGCGGAGGGCATCTGACACACACAGGAGAGCGGGAGGGCATCTGACACACACAGGAGAGCGGGAGGGCATCTGACACACACACAGGAGAGCGGGAGGGCATCTGACACACACACAGGAGAGCGGAGGGCATCTGACACACACACAGGAGAGCGGAGAGGGCATCTGACACACACACAGGAGAGCGGGAGGGCATCTGACACACACAGGAGAGCGGGAGGGCATCTGACACACACACACAGGAGAGCGGGAGGCATCTGACACACACAGGAGAGCGGGAGGGCATCTGACACACACACAGGAGAGCGGGAGGGCATCTGACACACACACAGGAGAGCGGGAGGGCATCTGACACACACAGGAGAGCGGGAGGGCATCTGACCGTTGTGCGCTGTGGTCTGGCTGTAGTTCTGTTGCGGCGTCTCGGTGTAGAACTCGGAGTCCACGGCCCATTTCGCCGCTTCCTCTGGATCGATCTCAGGAAACACGTCCTCCTGAACCGACGGAGACTGAAACAAAACACAAACATCGACTCACGACGACAAGAAAAAACAACAAATACAACAACAAAACTCTCACAATACATCGACTCACAAGTCACTTTGCTTAAATTAGTTGTTACAGTGATTTAATGTTTTTCTTTGTGATTTTAGGAGTAAAAAAAATACTCAAAATAAAAGCTATCTACTAATCTCTGCACCTCTGTCTCTCCTCCTTCATTTCTAATCCGTGTATCGTTCGTTCATTTGTTTTTCAATATAAAACCAAAAATAAGAAAATGAAAAAACAACAGTTTTCTTCATTATTTGTCTCCAAAACCAAAATGAAAAAACAGATATCGTCCGTTTACATGACTCCTGTGACTGCGATGTTGGACTTTTGCATCGCATACGGACTGAACCAGGACTGATCCAGGACTGGGACCAGACCGGGACCAGACCGGGACCAGACCGGGACCAGACCGGGACCAGACCGGACTCCGAGCTTTGACTCCGAGCCGCCGCAGGTTCCGAGCCTCAGCTTCGAGTTCCGGTCCTGCAGTGGGCGCTGAGCCTCCGGTCTGGTCCCGGTCTCAGACTCGGTCTCAGACTCGGTCCTGGTCTGGTCTCGGTCTCAGACTCGGTCTGGTTCCGGTCTGGTTCTGGTCTCAGTCCCGCTCTGGTTCTGGTCCGGTCCCGGTCTCAGTCTCGGTCTGGTCCCGGACCTGGATCAGTCCTGGTTCAGTCCGTATGCAGTACAAAAGTCCAACATCACAGTCACTGAAGTCACGTAAACAGGAAACGGTCGTTATCTGTTTTTTCCATTTTTCATTTAAACACAAAATCGAAAAATGAAAAAACGAATCATTATCTGTTTTTTTCATTTTGGTTTTGGAGACAAATAATGAGGAAAACTGTTGTTTTTTCATTTTCTTATTTTCGGTTTTATATTGAAAAATGAATGAATGAAAGATACATGGATTGTTTCTCCTCCGTCTCCTCTGTTCTTACCGCCGTCGCTCCGGTGACGCTGGACACGAGTCCGTTGATCAGGTCTTGTGCGGCTCTGACTCCGGCGCAGAGAGTCGAGTTTGAGGCCATGAGACGCAGCTGCTCCCCCTGAGTGGAGACGAGCGCCGAGCCGACCCTGCCCACGCCCCGGAGCACCAGGACCACCTCTGAAACAGACACTACACACAGAAACACAACATCACTACTACTACTACTACTACAAGTACTACAACAACCCTGCCCACGCCCCGGAGCACCAGGACCACCTCAGAAACAGACACTACACACAGAAAACACAACATCACTACTACTACTACTACTACAAGTACTACAACAACCCTGCCCACGCCCCGGAGCACCAGGACCACCTCTGAAACAGACACTACACACAGAAACACAACATCACTACTACTACTACTACTACAAGTACTACAACAACCCTGCCCACGCCCCGGAGCACCAGGACCACCTCTGAAACAGACACTACACACAGAAACACAACATCACTACTACTACTACTACAAGTACTACAACAACCCTGCCCACGCCCCGGAGCACCAGGACCACCTCTGAAACAGACACTACACACAGAAACACACAACATCACTACTACTACTACTACTACAAGTACTACAACAACCCTGCCCACGCCCCGGAGCACCAGGACCACCTCTGAAACAGACACTACACACAGAAACACAACATCACTACTACTACTACTACAAGTACTACAACAACCCTGCCCACGCCCCGGAGCACCAGGACCACCTCTGAAACAGACACTACACACAGAAAAACACAACATCACTACTACTACTACTACAAGTACTACAACAACCCTGCCCACGCCCCGGAGCACCAGGACCACCTCTGAAACAGACACTACACACAGAAACACACAACATCACTACTACTACTACTACAAGTACTACAACAACCCTGCCCACGCCCCGGAGCACCAGGACCACCTCTGAAACAGACACTACACACAGAAACACAACATCACTACTACTACTACTACTACTACTACTACTACTACTACTACAAGTACTACAACAACCCTGCCCACGCCCCGGAGCACCAGGACCACCTCTGAAACAGACACTACACACAGAAACACAACATCACTACTACTACTACTACTACAAGTACTACAACAACCCTGCCCACGACCCGGAGCACCAGGACCACCTCTGGAACAGACACTACACACAGAAACACAAATTATCACTACTACTACAAGTACTACAAGTACTACAAGTTCTACAGTACTACAAGTACTACAACAACCCTGCCCACGCCCCGGAGCACCAGGACCACCTCTGAAACAGACACTACACACAGAAACACAAGATTATCACTACTACTACAAGTACTACAAGTACTACAAGTTCTACAAGTACTACAAGTTCTACAAGTACTACAACTACCCTGCCCACACCCCAGAGCACCAGGACCACCTCTGACAGAGACACTACAGACAGAAACACAACATCACTACTACTACTACTACTACGAGGATGACTGTTGCTACAAATACTACAAATACTACTACTACTGTTGCTACAAATACTAGTACTATTATTGCAACAAATACTTCTACTGCTGTTGCTAATACTACTGCTATTACTACTACAAATACTACAAATACTCCTAGTGCTGTTGCTACAAATAATAATACTACTATTGCAACAAATACTACTCCTACTGTTGCTACAAATACTACAAATACTACTACTACTACTGTTGTTACAAATACTACAACTACTACTACAACTACTGTTATTACAAATACTATTCCTACTGTTGAAACAAATACTACAAATACTACTACTACTACTACTACTGTTGCTACAAATACTACAAATACTACTACTGTTGCAACAAATACTACTACTACAACTACTGTTGTTACAAATACTATTCCTACTGTTGCAACAAATACTACAAATACTACAAATACTACTATTACGGTTGCTACAACAAATACTACTCTTACTGCTGCTACAAATACTACAAATACTACTACTACTGCTGTTACAAATACTACAAACACTACTACTACTGTTGTTACAAATACTACAAATACTACTACTGCCTTTGCTACAACAAATACTACAAATACTACTACTACTACTGTTGTTACAAATACTACTACAACTGTTGTTACAAATACTACTACTACTGTTGTTACAAATACTACAAATACTACTACTACTGTTGTTACAAATACTACAAATACTACTACTAACTGTTGTTACAAATACTACAAATACTACTACTACTGTTGTTACAAATACTACAAATACTACTACTAACTGTTGTTACAAATACTACAAATACTACTACTAACTGTTGTTACAAATACTACAAATACTACTACTACTGTTGTTACAAATACTACAAATACTACTACTACTGTTGTTACAAATACTACTACTACTGTTGTTACAAATACTACAAATACTACTGTTGTTACAAATACTACAAATACTACTACTACTGTTGTTACAAATACTACAAATACTACTACTACTGTTGTTACAAATACTACAAATACTACTACTACTGTTGTTACAAATACTACTACAACTGTTGTTACAAATACTACAAATACTACTACTACTGTTGTTACAAATACTACAAATACTACTACAACTGTTGTTACAAATACTACAAATACTACTACTACTGTTGTTACAAATACTACAAATACTACTACTACTGTTGTTACAAATACTACTATTGCCTTTGCTACTACAAATACTACAAACACTACTACTAGAACAGTGGGTTGAATTATTACTGTTGTATTTTGTGTTTTTATGCAGATAGGATTTTGTCAACATCTGGAGTTGCATTACTGAGAAACTATTTCTCTTGCAAAATAAATAGTCTTTCTCACAATTTTGATTTATTAACGTGTGTAACTTTATCACAATCAGTAAATAAAGATAAAACACAAACATGATTCTCTCCTGGGACAAAAAACAAAAACAAGTTTTCACGTAACACGCCTTTGCTACATAACCATCCTGTGGCTAGCGTTTAACCTTGTGCAGCGTCACCAAAAATGTAAGGCATTCTATAGATCATAAAGCGAAAATATCTGTACATTTTTAAATATTACATTGACCAGCAAACGTAGATTTAATGTTTTGATTAAATTAAAATACTTACTGTTGTAAAATCTGTGAAATGTGGTGTTTTTAGTGAGCTCGTCCTCTCCGTGTGCTGCTGTTTTACAACACTCCGCCAACCCGGAACAACATCTGTGCCACTCCGCGGAATCTGACCAATCACAAGAGGAGCTGGAGGAGAAGCGGGCGGGACGTGGAAAAACAGCCAATCACAGCGCGGGAAAACAGATGATCGATAGATGAGTATGTCCAATGAGAGAAGAGAAAGCGGGGAAACGGAGAGACGGCGGCCAATAGGAATAAAGGTGTGTGCGCCCGTATGCACGTGTTTCAGAGATACACAGAACAAAATGTGCAATTCTTTTTCAGTTTTATGGTGTTTTAAATTAGAAAAGAAAGAAAATAAAGGTTAAAACGTGTCAGTTTATTAAAGAGTTACAAGTTAATTTTGCTTTTATAATGTTTTAGTCTGATATCTACCCAAATTACAGCAAAAATAAAACGAAAAACAGTAAAAATACAATATATAAAAAAAAATTAAAAAAACAAGTATTATCTGTGACATAAGGGTGCGTTGTTGTCCAGTTGTAGGGAGTATTATCTGTTACACAAGCGTGAGCTGTTGTACAGTTGTAGGGAGTATTATCTGTTACATAAGAGTGAGTTGTTGTACAGTTGTAGGGAGTATTATCTGTTACATACATCCATTTCCTTCACGACACACATTTCTAAAACATTTTGGTTTTATTCATTTATTATTTATTTATTATTTATTTAGTTGTATTTAGTTTTAACATAATAAACCAAATAATAAACCAAATTTGAACAAAAACTAAGACATAGTTCAAATATAGTTACAAAATTCAATAAGATGATTAAAAACAATGACACGGGTTCAGTAAATATTGCACCAGAGCATTTTTAAACAAAGGGACAGAAGTTAAAGTGCAAAGGAAGAGAGATGAGGGAAGATGAGGTTTTTCCAATCAGAGGAGATTTATATATAAAGGAGTGTTTTCCAGTTTGTTTTTTGACTCTTGGAACAACAAAAAATATCTGATCTGCGTGACGTGAACTGTACGAGGATCTTTGTGTTTTATAGAATGGAAATAAAGGACGTAGCAGTTTCATTACACACATTCACATTTAAAAGGGATCAATAAGTTTTATAAAATGTTTAAATATTGATGCAGTCGATCCTACGTGTGGCTGATGATTATCGAGGGAGGACGGTTCTGGCTGATCAAATACAAACACGAGGTTTACAAAAACACTCCTCCACAGTGTTCTCTTTAAACTCTCTTTAAACTCTCTTTAAACTCTCTTTAAACTCTCTTTAAACTCTCTTTAAACTCTCTTTAAACTCTCTTTAAACTCTCTTTAAACGCAGCACAGTTTGTGTTTTTCTGCTTGTTTTACACGAGGTCCCTGGAGACTCGGGTCGTGTGAGGAAACAGGAAACTCTCGGAGACTGTGGCCTCTGCCTCACAAAGCACTTCACATTCACCGTCTAATGTTTGTGCAGCAATTCCACTTGCATTCTTAATAATAATAATAATAATAATATTCTTGTATGCCTTAGCAAATTGCTTGGTTCAGGGGAAAAAAAAGTTCTAGAAACTGACAAACTGCACTGAAAGTGTTTTCTGGTTGTGTGTTCTTTTTCTGTTACTGTTTTTGACTGAGGTTCTCATTTTTATATCAAACAGGAAACATTAAAGCTCTGGCAGTGGCAGGACAATTTCAATTTTGTACTTGATTTTTTCAGTTGAGATTTACACTGAACACTTTTCCTGCTGCTGATCACTGATGCACTTTACTTTTCAATTCAATTCATTAAGTCAGATTCTAGGAATTGCACTGAAATTGGTTCTTTTTTTTTTTTTTTTTTTTTTTTTTTTTGAGTGAGATTCTCCAAAGCAAGAAGAATAAACATGAACTTTACAGACTCATGTCCTGCTCCTGTAGAAAGAAATGTTCTGTTTGTACAACAGATGTGGCTTTTTTGTTTACATGTACAATAAAACGATACCACTGTACGTTACTTTTGAATTCATTCATTGGTTTTGTGTATAACATGTGATTAATCATTATTAATCATATGAGCTCATGTGATTAATGCTATTAAGATTTTTTTTTTTTTTGCCCAGCCCTAATTATTATTAAATAAAGGAATTAAATTATGTGCTGTAATTAACTTAATGTAAATAAAATGAAATAACACTAACACTGTGGTGTAGTGGCAGAGGGATCCACCACAACTTCACCAATTAAAATAAAGTGCAGCATAAAATGTCGAGGCGAAAGAAACTGTTAGCCCCAAACCTCAAATTTTATTTTAGCAGTTTATTTATTTTTATTGTCATCATTTTACGATGTGCAGCACTTTGGAAACTGCTTTGTTTGTCAAATGTGCTGTAGAAATAAAGTGGATTTGGATTTAATCTGTTTTATTGTTGTATTTTCGTTATTATAGTAGTGATTATTTGTTTTATTTTGCGTGTTTTTTTGTTTCACGTACATGTCGGTGAGTGGGATCGTGAGTTCACCTTGTGTCCCGTGATTATTTGTTTAATTTTGAGTGTTTTTTGTTTTATGAATATGGCTACGTTTATACGATCTGAACAGAAAACACAAAAGTGGCGTCGCGTCTTCACTTTTTATTCCGTGTTTTGACGAGCGTTTTCGGGAGGAAATCTGTGCGCAGACGGTGACGCAAAAGTGTGTGGAATTGGATTGAGTGCATGCCGGGCGACTCAGTGGTGATGTATGTGACGTAAACGTGAACACGACCTGAGCACATCTGACCAGAGTTTTGCGTCTTGGGCAGTGTAGACAGAAACACTACGGCGGAGCAGATTCAACTTTTCCACTCTGGAGGTGGGTTCAGATTTTTGCGTTTTTAAGCCCCAAATACAACGTCACCATCTAAACGAAAGACACTCCCCATAAAATATTTTGTAATTTTTATCTGCAGGTGTCTCATGTAAACATGACCCTGTGTCGGTCAGTGGGTCATGATACAACATCGTCACAGTATGAATCTCACGGTGCAATATTTACTGTGATATCGTGGAAAAGCTCATGATATGGTGTGGAGGCTCACGATTAGAAATGTAACAATATCCAAATCTCTCTGTACGATATTTTCACGATGTACATCTCACGGTACAATATTAATTGTGATATTTTGTGGAGGCAACAAAACTGTGAAAATGCGACTTCTTCCTCTTCAAACGCCTTGACAAGACTTAACCCAAAAAACTACAACTTAAAAGTGTTAGAACTGTTATTTCTTCTTGTCGTCTGCAATGAAATGGAGCAAAGGATCATGGTCTACGTAGTTCCCTCGTGAACCTTGTGTTTGGTGATTATTTATTTTATTTTGAGTGTTTTTTTTTTTTTTTCGTACAGTGGGATCATGAGTTCATCTTGTGTTCGGTGATTATTTGTTTTTGTTTTTTTTAACGTACATATTGGTCAGTGAGATCGTAAGTTCACTTCATGTTCGGTGATTATTTGTTTTATTTTGCGTGTTTTTTTGTTTTTTTTGTTTTACGTACTCGTCGGTCAGTGGGATCGTGAGTTCACCTCATGTTCGGTGATTATTTGTTTTATTTTGCGTGTTTTTTTTGTGTGTTTTGTTTTGTTTTACGTACATGTCGGTCAGTGGCATCGTGAGTTCACCTCGTGTTCTGTGATTATTAGTTTAATTTTGCGTGTTTTTTTTGTTTTTGTTTGTTTTACGTACATGTCAGTCAGTGGGATCGTGAGTTCACCTCGTGATCGGTGATTATTATTTTAATTTTGCGTGTTTTTTTTTTTTTTACGTACATATTGGTCAGTGGGATCGTGAGTTCACCTTGTGTTCTGTGATTATTAGTTTAATTTTGCGTGTTTTTTTTTTTGTTTTTTTTTTTTGTTTACGTACTCGTCGGTCAGTGGGATCGTGAGTTCACCTCATGTTCGGTGATTATTAGTTTAATTTTGCGTATTTTTTTGTTTTTTTTTTTACGTACTCGTCGGTCAGTGGCATCGTGAGTTCACCTTGTGTTCGGTGAGAGTGCGCGCGGGGGGAGGAAGGGCGCTCCTTTTAAGGGCATCGCACCGACTCTGCGCTCCCATTGGCTGAGCGCGCCGTGCAGCTGCTTGTCAACAAGATGGACTCACTAAAGCCTGGGCATTTGGTCCGGGGGCCTGGTTTACACACAGGAGGATTCTGCAATGTTTACGATGGATTTGACAATAAAATATGAATTATACCATAAAACTGACAAAGGTTGGAGTTAGAAATGTGGTTAATTATTGAAACAAAAATATCTATAGTCTTTATATTTTGGATTATTTTTATGTTATTAGTAAAAATGACAACAATAACAACAGATTTTAGACTTAGACAAATTTTACTGATCCAAAATTGGAAATATTTGGACACAGTAACTCACTCTAAACAATATAATATAACGACAAAGAGTAAAATATATAAATAGTAATAATAATAATAGTAGTAGTATCATTAGTAGTATGTACAAGTCAAAATAAAATTTAAAAATAAATAATAAAATAGAAATATTGGTACAGTTTATTTTGTATTTTCCAAGACATTTTTAATAGTTTTGAGAAGTGTCGTTGTACTCGAGACCGGCCTTGGCCTCGAAACAGCTTGGTCTCGTCTCGGTCTCGTCTCTTACTCGAGCGTATTTAGACTCGGTCTTGTCTCGGTCTGGAAGGCGCTTGGTCTTGATCTTGTCTCGGTCTTGAAGGCGCTTGGTCTTGGTCTTGTCTCGGTCTTGATGACCCTTTGTCTCAGTCTTGTCTCGCTCTTGATTACGCTTGGTCTTGGTCTTGTCTCGGTCTTGTCTCGGTCTTGTCACGGTCTTAATGAAGCTTGGTCTCGGTCTTGTCTCGGACTGGAGGTCTGTGAGTGCAATCATATTTCATTACGGTCGGTAAATGTGCAGAGGTTGACTATCACTGCAAAACCTGTAAGAAAATGTAACTGTAAATGTTATGAACTTGACAAAACAAAAAACACTTTCTTCACTTTGAGGTTGTTTTCTGTAACAAGCCAGTGAAAGTCGGATTAAAGAAGAGGTTCTCAAACTGTGGGTCAGGGTCTAAAAAAGGTCTACAGAGTGTTTCAGTGCAGCACAGTTCACTTGATTTATTTTAGGCCTAAATAAGCATGAACCAGATCAAATAGAGACAGATTTATTCAAACATTGATAGAAATGTTCCAAAATAACTGTAAAATACAAATACATGTAGGAAAAGACAAAGATGGTCTCGATTTGGTCTCGATGGGCCGTGGTCCTTGGTCTTGCTTGGTCTCGGGACCCTCTGGTCTCGGTCTTATCACGGTCTTGGCTTTTAAAAGTTTCGATCTGGTCTCGGTCTTGTCTCAGTTTCGACCCTCAAAGGTCTTGATCTTGTCTCGGTTTCGACCCTCAGAGGTCTTGGTCTTGTCTCAGTTTCGACTCTCAGAGGTCTTGGTCTTGTCCTGGTCTCGAGACCCTGTGGTCTTGGTCTTGTCACAGTCTCTGCTTTGAAAAGTTTCAGTTTTGTCTCGGTTTCGACTCTCAGAGGTCTCAGTCTTGTCTCGGTCTCGACTCTCAGAGGTCTCGGTCTTCTCCTGGTCTTGACCCTCAGAGGTCTTGGTCTTGTCCTGGTCTCGGGACCCTGTGGTCTCGGACTGGTCTTGGTCTAGATTAGTGCGCTCTTGAAAACAACATAAATTTTGTGCCCAAAGGAAATAGACAAATGTTGAAAAATAAAATTACGCAAATATATGACGAAACGCACGGTAAATGAATAAACGTGAGATTAGTATTTTAAACGAGATTATTTAAGATTTTCTAAACAACTGTTGCGGTGACGTAATGCGCTTAACCCGTCCCCGAGCGAGATGCCTGGGGTTTTAGCGAGTCCCCGTTTTGACACCGAGTATTTTGGTATCCCCCCGGACGAGAACACACCGTAAAAATCCCCGTGTCACCTCCGAATAAGACACCGGGGACAGGAGCGAGAGACGAGGGCTTCCACGGCCAGCTGCGAGCCCCGCGGAGCCCCAAACCCCGGGAGCCCGAAATGCCCGAAACCCGCGCGGAGCCGCTAGAATCTCGACGTTAGTTTAGCATTTAGCCACTTAGCTTTAGCCCCGCAGGAGAGTTCACTCGTGTCACCTGCCCCGTGTTTCCCCCCCCACGCCGAGTCAACAATGCGGGGATAAAACCTCCGCCGACATCACCCGCGGACGAAGTTACAAACCAGGTAAATCATTTAATCACGTTGAAATTGTCTTTGTTTTTGTTTTGTTTTGTCGCAGCTTAGCATTAGCCTCGTTAGCCTTTAGCCGCTGCCATGTTCCGCAGGTAGACTCACTTATCTTCGGATTTTACAACGCTTTTTATCACATTTTTTAACCGTGTCAGTGCTTTTAAAACGACTATCACTCCATTAAAACACGACACGACTGGAAATAAATGCGTCTTGGTGTAAAATCGAGCATTTCTGACGAGTTTGTCCGGGGTAATTGTCGGACGCTTTGTGGTGGGTTTAAAAACACGGAAACGTCTGGTGGCCTTTAAACTCATCTGATCGGTTTAGTTTTATGTTTAGGAAGAACCAGAAGTCCCCTGTCCCCTGCAGATTTATACAAAACCACCGATTTGTACCAGTTTTATTCAAGAAATGTCCCAGGTGTGACTGTTTTGATCTAAAGCAGGACTAAACCAGGACTATATCGGGTCTAAGCAAGGTCTAAACCAGGACTAAACTAGTTCTGCTTCAGGACTAAACCAGGACTATATTAGGTCTATTTCAGGTCTAAACCAGGTCTAAACCAGGTCTAAACTAAGGCTAAAGAAAGACTACTCCAGGACTATTTCAGGTGTAAATCAGGTGTATTTCATGTCCAAACCAGGACTAAACCAGGCCTAAACCAGGTCTATTTCATTTCAGGTCTAAACCAGGACTAAACCAGGACTATTTCAGGTCTAAACCAGGACTAAACCAGGACTATTTCAGGTCTAAACCAGGTCCAGACTAGGACTAAACCAGGTCTAAACTATGACTAAACCAGGACTATATCACATCTAAACCGTGTCTAAACTAGGGCTAATTCAAAACTACACCAGGACTATTTTAGGTCTAAACCAGGTCCAGAATAGGACTAAACCAGTTCTACTTAAGGTCTAAACCAGGACTAAACCAGGTCTAAATTAGGAGTAAACCGGGACTATATCGGGTCTAAACCAGGTCTAACCCAGGACTATTTTAGGTCTAAACCAGGACTAAACCAGGTCTAAACCAGGACTATATCAGGAATATTTCAGGTCTAAACCATGTCTAAACAAGGACTATTTCAGGTCTAAACCAGGTCTAAACTAAGGCTAAACAAAGACTACTCCAGGACTATTTCAGGTCTAAATCAGGTCTATTTCATGTCCAAACTAGGACTAAACCAGGTCTAAACCAGGTCTAAACCATGCCTATACCAGGACTAAACCAGGTCTATTTCATTTCAGGTCTAAACCAGGTCTAAACCAGGACTATATTAGGTCTATTAGAGGTTTAAACTATAACTAAACCAGGACTATTCCAGGACTATTTTAGGTCTAAACCAGGACTATACCAGTTCTAAACCAGATCTAAAGAGGACTATTTCAGGTCTAAACTAAGGCTAAACCAAGACTACTCCAGGATTATTTTAGGTCTAAACCAGGTCCAGACTAGGACTAAACCAGGTCTAAACTAGGGCTAAACCAGGACTAAAGTAGGACTAAATCAGGACTGTGTTAGGTCTATTTCAGTTCTAAACCAGGTCTAAACTAAGGCTAAACAAGGACTTTTTCAGGACTATTTCAGGTCTAAACCAGGACTGAACCAGGTCTAAACCAGAGGAGCATAAATTACATTTGATTATCGCTTTTGTATTTAGTCTCAGATTAAACTCTGAGCCGCTCGTGACTCGAGGATGAACAAAGCTACACGATTTTTTACAATTTTATTTACACCAAAGATCCAAACCTGAGTGTGTCCCGTTTTTTTATTTTGAAAATCTAGTCCCGCTGTGTGATGTTTTACTCTAGTTTGAGAATTCCCAGATTTTCACGTGCTGATTCTTTACATTTCCACGTCTAAGTGTCAGAAATACATTTGGTGAAACTTGTTATGAATCGACTGCCGTTTCTCTACGACAATAACAACAGATTTTGGGCAGTTTTTAGATTTTGTATGGACTCTTGTGAGCTGTAATTCATCTTCTAATGTTGTTACCTCCTCAGAAACAGACCTGGAGTTGTTTTTTTGTTTCATTGAGTAATCCTGCGTTACTGGAGTGACCACACGTCCTTATTTACCCGGGACAGTCCCAGTTTTGAGTCTTGTGTCTCCTGTCCCAGCAGATTTATACAAAAGCAAAAAGATTTATACAAAACCACTGATGTGTCCAAGTTTATACAAGAAATGTCCCAGGTGTCTCTATTTTGATCTAAACCAGGACTAAACAAGGACTAAACTAGGACTAAAACCAAGACTACACCAGGTCTATTTCAGGCCTAAACCAGGACTAAACTAGGACTATATCAGGACTACTTCAGGACTAGTTCAGGTCTATGTCAGGACTAAACCAGGTCTATTTCAGGTCTAAATCAGGTCTGAACCAGGTCTAAACTAGGTCTAAACTACGTCTAAACCAGGTCCGAACCAGGTCTAAACTAGGTCCGAACCAGGTCCGAACCAGGTCTAAACTAGGTCTAAACTAGGTCTAAACTAGGTCTAAACCAGGTCTAAACCAGGTCTAAACCAGGTCTAAACCAGGTCTGGAGTTGTGTTTTTTGTTTCTTCCACACATGCTTGAGTAATCCTGCGTTACTGGAGTGACCAGACGTCCTTATTTACCCGGGACAGTCCCAGTTTTGAGTCTGTGTCCCCTGCCCCAGCAGATTTATACAAAACCACTGATGTGTCCCAGTTTATACAAGAAATGTGTCCAGAATTGCCCTTATTTTGGACCAATTTGATCCCCGCCCAACAGTAAAGAGAGACATAAACTGTAATTTGTTTAAATAAAACACAAAAAATCTGCTTAAAATTGACCAAAACACAAAGAAAATGTGAGTAAACTGACTCAACTGTTAGTCATCAACCATCAGTTTTTCTTTATTACGCACTCGTTTCACAATGTTATTATTACTAACCACCAAAAAAAAACAGGGATGTGTCAGTTTTTGGTTTTGAAATTCTCGTCCTCCTGTGCTTTACGTCTAAACATTCTGTTCCACCTTGTGATGTCATGAAGCGGTACAGAGTCATTCCACGCCAAATCTCCGAACACCACATTGTCAGCAATTCATTTTGATCTGGTCTTTCTTAAACCGTCTATTTGATGTTGGTGGGTGCTTCATTTTTTTGGTATAACATGGTAAAGATGCACCAAATGTATTTTTTCCATGTTATTAGTTTGTTTTCATCCCAGACAGTTTCTACTGCTCTTTCTCTGGCTACGTTCAGACTGCAGGCTTTAACGCTCAGTTCCGATTTTTTTTTTGTGAAATCCGATGTTTTTTCGAGGTCGTTCACATTTCCAATTAAATGTGACTTGTATGTGACTCCAGTGTGAACATTAAACGGTCCAAAAGTGAACATAGAGGCCAAAAAATCGGATTTGGGTCACTTCAGGCTGCAGTCTGAACGCAGCTTCTGTCTTCTTCAGAGTGGTCACGTGATGTTTCTGTGACGTGTCTGGTCAGTTGATTTAAACAGGTTTTGGCGCCGTCTTCCTACCGGTGGAGGCAGGACGACAGCGCCACCTGCACGTCTGTTGGGACAGAGAAAAACAAACATCGTCGCTGCATTGAAGAGGCAATTGAAATACGGAAACGTGCCCACGGGACGATAAACCGGGACAAGGGGTTTTTTTTTTACTCTCACACACCTGGGATTCTGTCCTGAGGAAGACGGACTGCAGGTGGCGCTGTCGTCCTGCCTCCACCAGCAGGAAGACGGCGCCAAAACCTGTTTAAATCAGAAACATCACGAGACTCTGAGGAAAAGCGAGAGTAAAGGCTGAAGTATAGTTCTGGGTCGACTCAACGCACACTGCCGTCGTTACATTGTCGCCGTCGTTTTTGATTTATGGATCTGCGTCGAGGTCTGTGCACTGTGAAGTAATTCACTGCCAAAACACTAGGGGGCGACGATATCTGTCTATTCATATATACAGTCTATGTGTGTATGAATCGCAGACGTATAATCTCTGAAAAGTTTAACATGAACCATCTCTAACGCGATAAAAGCACAGAACAAACTCACCATTAGTACAATATTCCTCTGTCACAGAAAGAACACTCATATTCCACTGAGTCGTGTCCTTTTAAAGTCCGAGAGAAACTGACCACGTACCAGGAGCGAGCTGTTTTATGAGCGCTTTGTTTATGTAAGTTAGCCATGTGGTTTTAAGTTTCGTTCTGTAGCTGCATTAAACACATTATTTCTCAAAATATACTGAAAGAAAGAAAAGCCGACAGGAAACGTCTACAGAGCGGTGGTACGGACGACCAATCACAGCTCTTATCGTCTGCGTCGCTTCCCCTGAGGTCTGCGGCGTTAGAACATTTCGGAGGTGCCCGTCGATCGATCGAGGGCTGCAGAGCAGCTCGTTTAACGGGGCGACGACCGCGACTCTGTGTACTCCCAGACATGACGCTGTAAACCGTGACGCATGGCCGTGTTTGGCCGAGTTGATCGCAGTAAATTTTGCCTACTGTCACGAAACTGAAAACAAACTCTTGGTCTGTAAAAAGAACCTAATAACATAAAATATCAGAAGACGAAATGAATCTCATTGGACTGTGTATTTTTTCCATTTTGAACACTTAATATCTTGTAGATCGTTCGTAACAGAGGGTCAGTTTTAAAATACAAAGTCCACAGTGGTGTGTGTGTGTGAAGGTTTATGTTCAATATCAAACCTCTGTATTTGAAACTGCACTTTCCACAGTCCTTCAGAGACGCCCTCACATTTAAAGAGGAGAATCTGTGAGCAAATTCAAGCCCCAGAAATCTGTGATAAACCAAAAGCACAAAGTCCAGATTCTACAAGTACATTTGACAAGTTTTAACCCTTGAAAATTTGACGGACCGACCTTAAATAGTTTTTTAGATGCAGCAATCTGAAAGTGGCTCCTCGAAAAACTCTGCTCAAAACAGATCAAGGGGGACTTGACAAAACTATAAGGAGTTGGGAGCTAAAATTTGGGTCTTGTGTGTGAACCTCCTTGATTTTTTTCCAGTCAAATTACCTTTAGTTCAGTAGAGATCGGCGATTCCTGCTCTGAAACCATCCAGTTGATTCTAGCGACGGTGTATGAAGTTTAAAAACACAGTGGAGCGCTTTTTGAGAGAAGAACTCGGCATAAATCTGCACAGTTTGTGTGTTTAAACATTTGTGAATGAAACAAAACCCAACTCCAGGTCCGTTTGTGACGAGGAAACGACATTTAGAACAGATAAAATGAACAGAAAACAGGACAGTTTCAATCGGATTGGCGACTTTATGACATTATTCAGCTGTATTTTAGCTTCTGTTGTTACTGTGTCCGTGTCAGAAGTCATGGAAGCTGTAAACCCGTGCGTCATGTGCAGTTCTGTTGTTTGTGCGGGATGGGCGAGTTTTATTGATCGCAGTTAAATTAAATTGCTCATATCTCGGGTCACGAATGCCGGACCGCTCCTTTGTGTCTGATGAGAAGAGGAGGAAGCGTTCGGAGAAGAGAAGGAGGGATTTCACGCGGAGATGTACGATTGCACAATGTGAGAAAGGAGTTTATAAGGATGTTGTCTTTTGCAGAAATGTAGCAGCGAACAGATGTCGGGAGTTTGGGCGTCATCTCAAAAACATTTTACTCCACGTCCTACACAAACACGCCGACATTTACACAACTTCAGGGCTCTGACAAAGACTGAGACAAACTTTACTGATCCACAGAAGAAATGGTTTGGACACAGCAGCTCACACACCACAAGAAAAAAATATAAATGGTGATAATAAATTCTAAATAAGTAGCAAAAATAGCAAGAGACTTTTGTCAAATAAGGCATAATTATAAAATGTAAATGTTCCGTCTGAACTCTGATTCAATGACAAGACACACGGCAAAAAACAAAATCCAGTCAAGTTAAGATGACTTGAATTAAGAACGTTTTATTATGATTTGAGTCAGTTTCACTTGACAAGTAAAATTATCTTAGCGAGACAGAGAGACAAGACCTAAACTTTTAAAAGCAGAGACTGTGACAAGAGCAAGACCACAAGCCTGATTCATGAGCCGGTTTCACATCGTGGAAACCGTGTGACCTCGCAACATTAGGATTTGTTCGCTAGTACGAAGTAGGCGGGTACTTTTTTTATTTAACCAATCGCTGCTGTTTGGTCGTGACGTATGTAATGTGCCAAATCCTGTAGGAAGAAGGACAATCACGTCTTTCTCTTTGATGAAATTCACCAAACATTCTCTTTGTTTCGGTTTTAAATCCTCGATCTCGGGAATCGTTGTCAACACAGAATGTCTGTCTTCGTCTATGTCCATCTCGACGCTTTGTTTACTGTTGTGGCCATAGTGACTTGTCAAAGTCTGATCCCGTCAGATCTCAGGAGCTCAGCAGGTCCAGGTCTGGTCAGGACTCGGATGGAGACACTGGGAAAATCAGGAGCCACAGTGAGGCACCAGTGTCAAAAACTGTCGTTGTGTCCTTAGGCAAGACACTTCACCCACATTGCCCAGTATGAAGTGGAGTGTGTGAGTGATGTTGGTGGTTGGAGGGGCCAGTGGCTTTGAGTGGCAGCCTCGCTTCTGTCAGTCTGCCCCAGGGCAGTAGTAGCTCACACCACTGAGTGTTGAGTGAATGAATAATGCTCTGTAAAGTGCTTCGGGTATCTTGAAAGGTGCTATATAAATGCAGTGATTAATTAATTAATTAATTTAAAAAATTGTGTTGTACCACTTATGGGACCCAGACAGGTGCTTGAGTTTGACATTGTGACTTGACAGCTCTTCTCTGATTGGCTGGTGCCTGAACTCTCACTCCCGGGGTTCTTGTAAACTGTCTAGTGTGTTCTGATTACTGGCCTAGAGCTGGAGAGAAATGAAAGGTGAGGTGGCACCAGCCTGGGTAAAATTATCTGCCAGTGGAATAAGACTTTTTGCAATTAAAATAAGAAACAAAAATCAAATGTTGCTTGAATTAAGATAAAAACACTTACTCCATTGGTAGATCATTTCACTTGTCAAGTTGAATCGACTCAAAGTCAAATGTTCTTAATTTAAGTCAGTTTAACTTCTAGATATTGTTTTTTTCCAGTGCAGTTGTTGTAGTTTCACATTTAATGCTCTTCTCATGAATACAGAGTGAAACTACAAGAGAAAAATACAAAAGCACCATCAGCGATCTGTTGTAATAATTTCACATTCCAGTTCATGTGCACTGCTGGTTTTAGAACCCCACACTTTTTTCAATTTTTTGACTGAAAATTCTAAACTTTAGATTGATGTGTGTGTCCACGTTTGTCAGATAAAACAGCTGAACACACTCGTGGCTCGTTCTTTTTACAACACAAATCAAATATTGTTCAGTGTGTGGCAGAAGTTTCCATAAATGTGTGGCACTTGTCAGTTGCTTCACTCTTCTGTCCAGTTCATCCCAAAAGACACTCCAGGTTTTCAAGTTTTACCCTCTTGTTCTTTTTTCCTGAGGTAGTTTTGGCAGAGCTTGGACTTGTCTTTTGTATCTTTTATCTTTTTTTTTAACCTGTCTGTTCAGTTTTTACCTTTTGTACAATTTCAGTCTCTTCACTGGACTTGCACGATTTAAACTGCAATAAATAACTGGAAAAATTAGGCTGTTCTAAAACTTTTGATGGGTACATGTGTATTGAGAGCTCAGTCACTTGTAGTAAAGCAGTTATAAACAAATTGTCCATAAAAGTTGGCTTATTTTAACATGAGAATAAATACATTTATCACAGATCTGTTTTTATCATTAGCAGATTACCCTAATTAATTGTACAAACGTATACCAGGGTTCCCGCTCTTTTTAAAAACTTTTCAGACGTGACTTTTTCATGAGCTAAAGTGAATTTTCCATGACTTTACAGCACCTACATGTGTAGAACTGATCAGACTTTTAGGGCTAAATCTGAAATGTGAACTCTTTCCACTCACCTTATGGTTTGGGATTATAGTTTTTAACATTCTAAATCCTGTCAGTGCATTTACGTTCAGAAAATACGTTCAGACGTTCAGAAATAATCAGAACAGCCTCATGAGAACTTAACAGAACACTGGAGTTGTGTGAAAGAGAGACTAAAATTGCCATGACTTTTCCAGTTGTAGAAATGCACCAATCCAGCTTTTTTATTTCTGAGATCGATATCGTTTGTTTTTAAGTGTCTGTGTTTACAACGATTTCCGCCGATACCAGCGCAGGGACAGAAAAATGACACGTTTCCCTTTAAAACGCCGTCCGTTTATTACACCAAGATCCAAATGCGTTGCGCAACTGTTCTTTTATTTTTCACATTTCGACTGAACAGAACATAAAGTCGGCCTGTAAATGTTCTTACTGCGTCCAATTAAAGGGTCCAAGGTTCAGGAATCACATTTCAGTCATTTATAGAGGTCTGAAAATGACATTATTTCTTTTTAGATCACGACACGGTAGAGACGGGACAAGGACAAGACCTCACGCCTCAAGATCTCTGAGGACAAAACATGAGAAAAATAATCTCGTAAAATAATCTCCCATTTGGATCGGACGAAAAAGCGTTAAGAGTTGGTCAGTTGCAGAGTGACAACAAAAATATTCAGTGAAGTAAGTACAAATTCTAAAGTCAACTTGGGAACTAAATCGGACTATTTACGCCTTAGAAATTCTGTCAAAGTCTCGTTCTCGTGGACCCTGTCTCATGTCTCGTTTCGTCTCGTGGAAATTGCGTGTTCTCTGTTTTGTTTTCCGTACAGGACTTAAATAATTACAGTCTTTCGATTCTCTGATTGGGACCGTTCGGATCGTGGTTTCGCTCTGTCTGAGATGAATCCAGAGCCGCACGTTTCTCTTTTGTACTTGCTGGAGCCGTGAGTCTGTGTTGGGTTTGTGTTTTGGAAAGGAGATACACGCTGTATTGTGAGGGACGTGGCATTTTAGTCCAAACCAAATTTTCCCACGGAGAAATCTGCCGGTTACTCACTGTCAGTCTGTCATTGTGATAAATTAAATGGTAATAACTAAATATCACAAAATTTTAACCGACGTGAAGCAGCCGTTTGACAAAAAAAATCTCTATTTAAAGTCTCCGTAACTGATTTTTTTCTGTCTTTAAAAATGGGAAAAACTGACGTAGTTCATTCTTAGAGTGAGTTTTATCAACTTTTAACTTTTAACAACTCTTGTCTCTGTTCAGAAATGTAGTGGACTGTAAAATGTACTCACTAAAGTACAAATACCCAAAAATTTGACTTAAATGTGCACTGTGTAACTTCTCTGGTGGACGGTCCGTCAGTTGGTTGTTTCCACGGACAGTGTTGGGAAGGTGACTTTTAAAATGTATTCCCCTACAGATTACAGATTACACACACCAAAATGTAGTTTGTAACGTAATCCATTAAATTACTTAAGGCGAGTAACGTAATCTGAATACTTTGGATTACTTGATTTGCTGTAGAGAAGCGAAGACGAGGAAATCATAACTTTTATCTGCTAAAAGAAAATGAAAAGCCCAAACTTTACTGAACCGTATTAAAAATATTATTGATAGAAGACGAGGAGACATGGTCCGCGCAGCATGATTTAGTTCTGGTTTAGTCCTATTTTAGTCCTGTTATAGTCCTGGTTTAGTCCTGTTATAGTCCTGGTTTAGACCTGGTTTAGTCCTGTTTTAATCCTGGTTTAGTCCTGGTTTAGTCCTGGTTTTAGTCCTGGTTTTAGTCCTGGTTTAGTCCTGGTTTAGACCTGGGTTTAGTCCTGGTTTAGATCTAGTTTAGACTTTAGGACTTTAGTTTCCAGCAATGAGTGGAATTACCAAAAAAAAAAAAAGGGGTTATAACCCAAATGTGAAAACAGTAAAATCCCTCTGTGTAATCCATTTATTTCAACAAAGTAACTGTAATCCAATTACCACTCACTGAAACAGTAACTGTAACTGAATACAGTTACTCATCATTTGTACTCTGATTACGTAACTCTGGTACATGTAATCTGTTACTCCACAACACTGTCCATGGACACGTCATTGCTCTGCTTCGAATGTTCCACAGTGTGACATTAAACAGCTCGACTTTACATTTATTCAGTTACAGGTGGTTTGAAAGCTCAAAAATACCTCGAAAAACATTCAACAAAAGCATTGTGACTGTGAGCGGGGTCGCCTCTCCACAGATCTGACTTGTCCAGTTTGTGCATCAAATCGTCTATGTTTCGATGCAGAGTCTGCGCTGCCATGAACCCCAAAATTTTGTAACAGTGCGTCAAAACGACGCAGACAATAAGTTCTGTGATTGGTCGTCTCTACATCCGCGCTACTCCGTTTTCCCGTTTCATTTTGTAAACATGAACATCATTTTTAAACCTTCGACCTTCGAGTCGAGGCAGAACATACTTCATGCCTCAACCTGGTCTGGTTTGGTCTCCATGAAGATAGAAAGATTTAAAGCCGTACTGTGAAACACTCCAGACAAAGCAATAACATCTCCATGGAGAAAAGCATTTGACGGAGCCTCCATCAGAAAAGTTACACAATGCAGCTTTTTAAATACAGTATTTTACTACTTGTTAGGGTTTGTTAGGTTAATACAGTATTACAGTTTCCCGCGGTATCAGAAAGTAGCAACAGTATCAGATTTATTACCGTCATTAAAAAATCTGCAGAGCATAACAACCTAATATAATATGATAATGTTATTGATCCCTACATTAGTTTGCTCAGCACAAATGTGTGGTTTTATTTTCAGTTTAATGTTTCACAATTTAAATCTAATAGTGTCTATAATGTTTTTTTAACTGTGTGGGGAGACGACGTTCAATTAGTTTTATTCTGTTGTCACGTGACGCTCATAAGAGTCCAAGACGAGACAGTAAGTACAAAGACAAGCGACTTGGTCCCAAAAAAATACTAGTACTTCTACAATTTGCAGCATTTTGGCTTCAGGACACATTTGTTTATGTTTTACAGAAACAAAACTTAAAACCACATGACTCATTTGCATAAACTATAAGCACTCTTTGTGCCCTGATGTGGTTCAGTTTGTGTCGGACTAAAGGACACAGTGACTCAGTGGAATATGAGTGTTCTTTCTGTGACAGAGGGGTGTTCTGCTGATGGTGAGTCTGTTCTGTGTTTCTGTCGTGTTGGAGATGGTTCATGTGAAACTTTTCAGAGATTATACGTCTGCAGGTCGTACACACAGACTGTACAGCGGTGCGGCTTTGTAGTTTACCAAAGTCGTACTAGAAAATTTTTGGTAATACAGTAATACTGTACACGCCGGTAAAATCCTGAGAAAGTTTAACGATATCAAAATTTGGATACTTGTGTTTCATAACTTTCCACCACTTGGGTTTGTCTCTGTGTTTGACCCTGAACAGCAGCCGTAGTTTTAATTCCAGGTTCTGTTTAGTGTGTGTCTGTGTGTATGTATGTGTGTGTATGTATCTGTTAGTGTGTGTGTGTCTGTGTCTGTGCGCGTGTATGTGTGTGTGTCTGTTTGTGTTGTGTGTGTGTGTATGTGTGTGTTTTTGTGTATCTGTTAGTGTGTGTGTGTGTGTGTGTATGTCTGTGTGTGTGTGTCTGTGTGTATGTATCTGTTAGTGTGTGTGTGTCTGTGTCTGTGCGCGTGTATGTGTGTGTGTCTGTTTGTGTGTGTGTATGTATGTGTGTGTTTTTGTGTATCTGTTAGTGTGTGTGTGTGTGTGTTTGTTGTGTGTGTATGTGTGTGTTTGTGTATCTGTTAGTGTGTGTGTGTGTGTCTGTTTGTGTTGTGTGTGTGTGTGTTTGTGTATCTGTTAGTGTGTGTGTGTGTGTGTGTGTTGTGTTGTGTGTGTGTGTGTTTGTGTATCTGTTAGTGTGTGTGTGTGTTTGTGTATCTGTTAGTGTGTGTGTGTGTCTGTTTGTTTGTGTGTGTGTGTGTGTGTGTATCCGTTAGTATGTGTGTGTGTGTGTGTTTGTGGTAAGTGTCTCCTCACACAGCAGTAAGCCCTTTTTAACAACTCTCACTCACAATCGGGATGCTAACTGTGCATTTCCTGATCCTCGGACAACAAAAGGCGTTATAACTGGGCGCGGACAGAACACGGTGAACTTATTCTGACGTCAGGAGCTGCTTCTTCAAAGATCGAGACAAATCCAGAGAGCGAATGAGACCGAACTCCTTTAATTTTCTGTGTAAAATGAGGAGAATGCAGGTTGTGGTTCCAGGTAAACCACCAGGACGTGTTTCAGAGCGAAGAAGAGTAAAATGTGAAACACGCAGCAGACTCTTCGTGCACTAACTTTAACACTTTCTGAGTTCGAACTCGTCTGTCCAACGGTAAACGAAACACGAGGACATTTTCTGCTCAAATACGCCTGAAAACGTTTACGTATTTACATAAAGTGATCTGGGTTTGGTCCAGACAGACGTTTGCGCAGCCGAAACTCAAATAAGTTCAGCAGGTGTGATTAAAGATGCACTGTGTAACTTTTCTGATGGACGGACCCCAGCCTCGTCTCCATGGAGATGTGATAAAGACTCTGTGTCATCGGGTTTTAGCTTTTCCCGCTTCTCACGACGCTCCGAATCTGGTTCAGTCCTGGTTTTAGTTCTGGTTTTAGTTCTGGTTTAGCCCTGGTTTTCGTCCTGTTTGTGGTACTGGTCCTGGTCTGGTCCTGGTCTGGCCCTGCTTTGGTCCTGGTTTTAGTCCTGCTTTTTCCTGCTTTAGTCCTCCTTTAGTCCTGGTTTGGCCATTGTTTTTAGACCTGGTTTTAGTTCTGGTTCAGTCCCTGTTTTAGTCCTGGTTTAGTCCTGGTTTAGTCCTGGTTTGGACCTGGTTTAGTCCTGGTTTTAGACCTGGTTTTAGACCTGGTTTAGTCCTGGTTTTAGACCTGGTTTAGTCCTGGTTTAGTCCTGGTTTAGACCTGGTTTAATCCTGGTTTAGTCCTGGTTTTAGACCTGGTTTTAGTCCTGGTTTAGTCCTGGTTTTAGACCTGGTTTAGACCTGGTTTAGACCTGGTTTAGTCCTGGTTTTAGACCTGGTTTAGACCTGGTTTTAGACCTGGTTTAGACCTGGTTTAGTCCTGGTTTTAGACCTGGTTTTAGACCTGGTTTAGTCCTGGTTTAGTCCTGGTTTAGACCTGGTTTAGACCTGGTTTTAGACCTGGTTTACCTGTTTAGACCTGGTTTAGTCCTGGTTTAGACCTGGTTTAGTCCTGGTTTTAGACCTGGTTTAGACCTGGTTTTCCTGGTTTAGACCTGGTTTTAGACCTGGTTTAGACCTGGTTTAGTCCTGGTTTAGACCTGGTTTAGTCCTGGTTTATCCTGGTTTAGTCTGGTTTACCTGGTTTAGTCCTGGTTTAGACCTGGTTTTAGACCTGGTTTAGACCTGGTTTAGACCTGGTTTAGACCTGGTTTAGACCTGGTTTAGTCCTGGTTTATCCTGGTTTAGTCCTGGTTTAGACCTGGTTTAGTCCTGGTTTAGACCTGGTTTAGTCCTGGTTTAGACCTGGTTTAGACCTGGTTTAGACCTGGTTTAGTCCTGGTCTGGACTCTGTCTGTGGACTTTCCTCTGGCTCCAGGTTTAATGTGATATTAGAATCTTGTGTAATGTGATCTGTGATCATAAAGAGGTGTGGAGCACAAAGAGGCGCCATTAAACACGAGCTCGACACTCACCTGCTGCTCGTTTCCATGGAGACGTCACTGCTCTGCCTGGAATGTTCCACAGTGTGACATTTAACAGCTCGATTTTACATTTATTCAATCACAGGTGGTTTTATAAACTCAAAAACACCTCGAAAATCAAACAGTCTGACTGTGAGCGCCTCTCCACAGATCTGACCTGTAACTGGACCTAGTAGTGTCACACCTGCTTGACTCCATGGAAACAGATATTTAATGCCATATTCTGGGACATTCCACTATAAAAGTTACTCATTGCACCTTTATGATTTCGTTTACTTTCATTTGAGTTTAATCTGTGGTTTTACATAACTCGTCCGCCTCGTGTCCGGACACACTCTGGCCCCGAGCCGCCCCGGAGCCGCCCCGGAGCCGCCCCCAGAGCCGCCCCGGAGCCGCCCCAGAGCCGCCCCCCAGAGCCGCCCCAGTGCACTCTGGGTAATTCTCACAGACTGGAGAGAGGCCGGGAGCCGCCCCACCCACCAGCCTCCATCTGGACTAAAAATAGAGCCGCGTGTGCCCAGAGCTCCACCCAGTGTGACCTCCTGTGAAGAGCTCCTGTTCACAGGGACTAGACTTAGACCAGGACCAGGACTAAGACCAGGCCCCAGCCTCGATCAGGGCACTTTCACACTGCCACTTCATTCAGTTAATAGTTATTATACACACAGACTTCAGTGTAAGTGACATAAACTTTCACACCTGCAAACCAAACAGAACTGGTCCGACTGTCGTTTAACCAAGGATCCTGGAGGTTCTACTGCACACGGCTCGGGGACGCTGAGGTTCTTTCTCACGCTAGTCCTCTCGCAAGTGAGGTCGACACACATCATCTCGCCCGCTCGCCTTCCCACGGAGCCCCTACACGGGGCACAGATGGCGCAGGCCGGGCCCTGTCCCCACGAGCGGTGGCCGACCTCCAGCAAACAGTTTCTCAAATCCACCTAAGAGCCTCCCCAGGCCTGTGGAACTCAGACTTGCAAACCTACAGACCATTGACCACGGGGCAGGTGTTCAGACTCCACCCCGGCCCCCGTCACACCCCTTAACCCCTGCACACACAGGTCGACCTGGTGGACCTGTGAGTAGCAGATGTTCGTCTCATAGATGAAGCGGTGCAGGTTTAAGTCCACACGGACACTTCAGGGAAACTGTCAGTGCCTCATTAAATCAGTTCTGGTTCTTTTGGTCTCTCCACTGTTACTTGGAGCACGTTTGACCGCGGTTTGTCGTCTTCACTCCCTACAAACAGGAAATGACATCATTTGTGTCCCCTCCCATCATGCGTTTGGAATAGTTGGTTTGGACCTGAGTTGGCGTCTCAACCAGAGGGACCGACCCAGAGTTTGGTGCAGAGTCAAGACCAAGACCACCTTTCTTTTTTGAGGTCTTATTCTGTTTGATTTAGTGCAGATCCGAGTGCGACTGAAGCTTTCACACCAACAAAAACGAAAACAACTAAGAACCTGAGACTGTAGGACTAAGAGCGGAGACTTGGACCGGACGTGAAGGACTTGAGGTAAACTGCAGAACGTGATCTGGAGGAGAGGGCTGGAGGAGAGGGCTGGGTCAGATTAGATTAAGTGCTTTCAGATTGAGAGAGGGATGGAAAAGAAAGAAAGGAAAGATGGAGAGAGAGGGATGGAGGATGGAGGATGGAGAGGAAGGTGATGAAGAGGTGATGGAGCAGAGCACTTAATGTAATAGAGACGGACAGACGAGGAGGAGGAGGAGGAGGCTGCTCTTCTTCACTGCTCTTAGACTCTGTGTTTATCGATTTATCTGAACTTTGGGGGAAATATTGAACTGTAATTTTTCTAACAAACACTAGAAGAATTGACAAAAAGACTGAAATGTGAGAAAGAGTCACACTTCAGAACACGTTTGTGCAGATCTGAAGCACACGGTCACGCGGGGAGGGCATCTGACACACGAGGGCCTTTCAGAACGTGTTTGTGTTTGGGAGGTTTTTACGCAGAATGATTTTTTTTTTCTTGTTTGTGGAGCAAATTTCAGCCTTTTGTGATTTGTTGGTCGCTTCCACTTCATCAAAATGTGTTTTCAGTTGTGATTAATCCTACAGCTTTAACTCATGCCCTAAACCTCTCCTCCTTTTCCTTCTTTTTCTTCTCCTCCTCCTTCTCATCCTTTTCCTTCTACTCCACCTTCTTCTCAACCTCCTTCTTCTGCTCTTCCTCCACCTCCTTTTTTTCCTTCTCCTTTTCCTTCTTCTCCTCCTTCTTCTTTTCCTTCTCCTTCTTCTTCTTCTCATTCTTCCTCCTTCATCTCCACCCCCTTCTGTGCTTCCTTCTCTTCCTCCTTCTCATCCTTCTCTTCCTCCTTCTCCTTCTCTTTGTCCTCCTGCGCCTTCTACTCCATCTTCTTCTCCTCTTCCTTCTTCTTCTCCACCTCCTTCTCATTTTTCTTCTCATTCTTCCTCCTCCTTTTTCTTCTCCTCCTTCTTCCTCTCCTCCTTCTCATCCTTCTCCTCCTCCTTCTTTGTCCTCCTGCGCCTTCTACTCCATCTTCTTCTCCTCTTCCTTCTTCTTCTCCACCTCCTTCTCATTTTTCTTCTCCTTCTTCTCATTCTTCCTCCTCCTTTTTCTTCTCCTCCTTCTTCCTCTCCTCCTTCTCATTCTTCCGCCTTCTTCTCCACCTCCTTCTGCGCTTCCTTCTCCTTCTTCTCTTCCTCCTCCTTCTCATTCGTCTCCTCTTCCTCCTCCTTCTACTCCTCCGTCTTCTCCTCCTCCTTTTCTTTCTCCTCTTCCCTCTTCTCTGCCTCCTTCTTCTTCTCTTCCTCGTTCTCATTTTCCTTGTTCTTTTTTTCCCTTTCTCCTCCCCCTCCTTCTCCTCCTGGCTCCTCCTTCTTTGCCTTCTTTTCCTTCTCCTCCTCTTTCTTCTCTTCCTCCTTCTTCTCCTCCTTTGGTGTTGGGATATTGAGTATTGTTTTTTGTTGTCTTTGGTTGTTTTTTTTAGGATTTCACATAATAAATGTTTTGCTAAAAGTCAAAAAAGTCTCCTCCTTCACCTCCTTCACCTCTTCCTCTTCCTCCTCTCTTCCAGGTCCCCCCCTCGCGTCCGTCCGTCTGTGCCCCGGTGGGAGGCTCCGCTCTGGGGGGAGGATGATGCCGTTGCTCCCCGCTTAGGCCCGTCGTCCCGGGGCTGATGGAGCGAGACGCCTTCTCCCACATCCGGCTGTGGTGCCCCCGACCCTTCGGCACCTACACCCAGAACAAGCCCCGACCCGCGGGCACCGTGAGCGCGACAGGGCCCGCTCCGGCGCCACCTGTCTGTAAGTGCCGGAGAGACGCCTGAGAGAAGTCGAATCATCAAACACAAACCGACACAAAAACTCTGTCAGACGTTTGTGCTGAAAAAAAGTTTAGTTTTGGAGATATAATGATTCTTTTATTGGTCAAACTGGAGTCAGCAGCCCCCAGGAAACTTGAAAATGAAATAAAACCACACAAAATGGAGCCAGTAATTTGTGCTGGAAAAAGTTTGGTTTGTGTGATTCTGGTTTTTAAGATATGAACGGTTTTATTTTGGGCCAATGACGTCGTCCAGCCCCTGAAAATGTGTAAACAGCCTCAAAACAGCAGAAGATTATATGAAACGTTTGGATCTGGTTTGTGCTGTGACTGTTTTCATTTACCCGAGTATATTTTTTAAATGATTAACTATTATTTGTGCGTAAATAACATGACGTCATTTCCTCTCAGGTGACGACAACGAATTTAACAAAACTCCACAAAACTATTGAAGAGAAACGACCTGAGGCTGTGGAAAAGTCTGTTATTGTACAAAATATGAATCAAAATCAAACTACTAAAGACTGACACAGACTTTTCCACAGCCTCAGGTCGTGAAATAATGTCTGTAATTTCTGCAAAAATAATTATTTTCAGTTGTGCTTATATTCTTCTAAAATTATTAAATGTCACGGCACAAATGAAACACAAAAGTTTCATATAATTTTCTGCTGTTCTGAGGCTATTCATCATTAGTGTTGGGAAGGTTACTTCTAAAATGTAATCCCCTACAGATTACAGATTACAGACCCCAAAATGTAGTTTGTAACAGAATCCATTAAATTACTTAAAGTGAGTAATGTAATCTGAATACTTTGGATTACTTGATTTGCTGTAAAGAAGCAAAGACGAGGAAATCGTAACATAAGAAGTTTTATCTGCTAAAAGAAAATAAAAAGTCCAGACTTTACTGAACCGTATTAAAAATATTATTGACAGAAGACGAGGAAACAAGGTCCATGCAGCAGGATTTAGTCCTGTTAAATCCTGGTTTAGTCCTGGTTTTAAGTAAGTATTTATATAGCGCTTTCACAGACATTTTTAGTCCTGGTTTTACACCTGGTTTTAGACCTGGTTTAGATCTAGTTTAGATCTAGTTTAGTCCTGGTTTAGACCTGGTTTAGACCTGGTTGAGATCTAGTTTAGACCTGGTTTAGTTATGAGTGGAATTACCGAAAAAAAAAAAGGGGGGGGATTTAGCCCAAAATGTGAAAACAGGAAAATCCCTCTGTGTAATCCATTTATTTCAACAAAGTAACTGTAATCCAATTACCACTCACTGAAACAGTAACTGTAACTGAATACAGTTACTCATCATTTGTACTCTGATTACTCTGGTACATGTAATCTGTTACTCCACAACACTGTTTATCATTTTGACGGGCTGGATGACGTCATCGTTCCAAAATAAAACTGCTGATATTTGAAGAACTAGAATCACACAAACCAAACTTTCTGCAGCACAAATGACTGACATAGTTTTTGTTTGTTTTTTGTTGATGTTTGTGAGACATGTGAAGTGTAATGTGCAGAGAAGTGTGCACATGTTTACAGAAACAGAGTGGTGCTGTGTTCTGACTCCGTCCTCTCCCTCAGGTTCACGTCTGGCTGACGCTGCAGGGGGAGATGGCTGTATGCTCCCAGAGGACAGTGTCTCTGAGGGGGACGTGGACGTGGAGAACACCCCCCCGGAGCCGGAGGTGTCCCCGGCCCCGGCGCCTCAGAGCCAGACCCCGGCTCCCTCCGTCTCCGCCCCGACCGGAGCCTCGACGTCTGCGGCTCAGGTGGAGGAGGGCAGGGTGCTGCTGGACACGTGGTACGTCATCAAACCTGGAAACACCAAGGAGAAGATCGCCTTCTTTGTGGCTCATCAGATCAGTGGAGCTGGACAGGCTCGACCCAGCGCCATGAAGGTGAGACGGGTTCACTTTAAACATCAACTCTGTTTCTCCTGCGTTCATCTGGCCAGAATCCTGACCACTGTAAAATAACCACAACTGCCTCTCTTCAGACTAGAGCTGGTGATTTTGCCTAAAAATAAAATTGGTGAAACAAGTTAATCAATGAAACACATTTTGTGAAGCTTCAGTAACAGCTGCAGATGAACTTTCTCTCTCTCAACGTTCAGAATGAATTAGGCCTAAATTATACTGATAGACCTGGAATTGTAAAGCACTTGACTCTCATTTGCATAAATTGCATCACACATAATGAATCCCCCCGTCATGTGACTTTGAACCATCAGCACAGTTTCAGTTTCAGAGTTTGACCCACTGTTCTTTCAGTCGCTCTTCTGTCTCCCTCTGGGTTCAGTTTTATACACCAACCTCTGTCCGCCAGCAGGGGGCGGTGTTGAACACTGCAGCTTCCCTTGGTCATGTTCAGGAATCATTCTGAGGATGAACTAGAACTCTGTTTACATTTTCATTTTTTGTTTCTGATTGTTGGTGCCATTTTCCATGTTGCAATTTAGGTTTAGATTCAGTTCAGATTAATAATATAATTAGATTTATATGTAGTGATTGCATATTTAGGATTACATTTCATTTACATATATTTGATCATTTGTATTTAATGTAATTTTAATTTAGTTTTGAACTAGTTCAGATTAATTCGTTTTAGATTTTCCAGATGTATAGTCAGTAGGAGCCGGTGCTTTGAGCTCACGCATGGATGGAAGGGAAAACCGTTTCTCTGTATCTGTTTTCTACTGTTGTTTAAACCTAAACACGAGGAGACTCATTCTTTGTATCTGAAAGTGGTTCACTTCATGAATATGAAAAGAAGAACTCACTGAACACAAGAAGGGAAATGTCACCACTTCACTGATAAATCTGTGTTCTTTTTTTCAGGTGAAGGGAAACTGGGCGACCGACTGCAGCAAAGCCAAACGCCGCCGCCGCTGCTCCTCCTACGACCCGCCCACTCGCTCGGCCCCGCCCACTCCGGCGCCGTCTGCTGAGCGGAGCCTCGAGGACTCAACGACTCTGAGCGAGACCGGCCAGACCGGACCTGGACTCCACGAGACCGGACTCCACGAGACCGGACTCCACGAGACCGACCTGCTGTCTGTGGCGGAGATGGTGGCCTTGGTGGAGCAGCGCACCGCTTTGGCCCTGCAAGGCATCGTGGGACTGCACGGGTCCCTCCCCCATCACCACCTCGACCAATCACACGCCTCCAATCACCAGCTTCTCCGAGGGACAGTTTCAGACCCGACTCCTGTAGTTTTCGTCCCTAATCCCTCCAAAACCCCGCCCGACTCCTCGTCTCCGATCCAGACGGACCAGGAGCTGGAGGAGCAGCAGGAGTCGTGCAGAGTGGCTGAAGCCATCGCGCATTTCGAGTCTCAAAACCTGGAAAACCGTTTAAATTTAGGACATGGAATCGATTCTCAAAAAGACAAAGACGACGGCGTTAAAGGTGCTGGCTCGGGCTCTGCTCCTCCGCAGCCGTCGCACAGTCACGGAGAAGTTAGAATCGCGTTTAGAGTCTCAAATATCGACTCTCGATCGCAGTTAGAGCCAGCCGGACGGTCGCGGTGCATGTTCATGACGTGCGGAGGCGGCTCTGGCCAGTCCAACGCTCGCTCCAAAGAAAAGATAACGTGTGACCTGTACCAGCTGGTGAGCCCTTCGTCGCGTGACCCCAGTAGCCTGCTGTTAGCCGCTACGACCGCTGCGCCCAAACAAGACGGCGACGCGAGCACGGACTCAAACTCCGCAAACGGCTCGGATTCCAAGCAGGAACACGGCGCCGCGGAGAAGAAGAGCAGAGAGAGAGTGACGGGCTTTCACGTGGAGGTGGTGGTGACCGGAGCCGTGGACCAGTGCGTGTTCTACGGCAAAGACAGCACCGAGAACGTCCAGGAGGAGACGGTGTGTTTCGCCGTGCAGTCCTCCGCGTCGGCGCCGGGGGGCGAGCAGACGGACGACCCGCCTCCCGGACAGCTGTTCTTCCTCCAGCGCGGCCCGGACGAGGACCTCAAAACCGCCAACGCCTGCAACAGCGGCGCGGGGAAAGCCGTCGAGTGCGTGAACAACAACAACAACAGCGGTTCTATCGGGAACGCCGAGAACGCCAGACCGGAATCGCCGATAGTCACGGAGGAATGCGCTGACTCGTCCCTGTGCCGTCTCTACCGCCACGTCTCCCACGACTTTTTGGAAATCCGCTTTCAGATCCAGCGCCTCCTCGAGCCGCGTCAGTACATGGTCCTCCTCCCGGATCACATCATGGTGAATATTCTGAGCTACCTGCCCACGCGCTCGCTCGCCGCCCTCAAATGCACCTGTCACTATTTCAAAGCGCTGATCGAGACGTACGGCGTGCGCGCTGTCGACTCGCGCTGGAACCAGGACCCTCTGTACCGGGACGACCCGTGTAAGCAGTGCAAGCGGCAGTACGAGCGCGGGGACGTGTCGCTCTGCAGGTGGCACCCCAAACCTTACCACCACGACTTGCCTTACGGGAGATCTTACTGGATGTGCTGCCGGCGCACGGACAAGGACACGCCGGGGTGCCGGGTGGGGCTCCACGACAACAACTGGGTGCAGCACTCGGCCGAGGGGCAGGCGATCCGGGCGCGGCGGGACGAGCGGCGGGAGGAGGCCAGGTAGAGACGGCAGGAACAAAACAGGAAACGGAACAGAAACGCACTTCGATAAAACAAAACGACAACGCTTTTACTATTCAAGTCTCTGCTCCGAATGTGCTGAGGGAGTCTGGTCTCGTTCAAACGCTCGGCGCGGCTCGGCTCGGTTTAGAACGGGTTTACACTGGAGCTAAAAAGACCCGTGAAAGTAAAAATCTACTCTCTGATCCATTTTCTAACATCGTTTCCTCATCACAAACAGACCTGGAGTTGTGTTTTGCTTCATTCGCACATGTTTAACTCACAAACTGTACACATTTACGCCGAGTTCTTCTCTCAAAGTGGAAAAAAAACACAATACGGAAAGAGCTCCACTGTGTTTTTAAACTCCACACACCTTCGCTAGAGTCATTTGTATCATTTGAGTCCTGGAATTGCCGATCTCTACGGAACTAAACGTAAAAATTTTGAGTTTGACAGACAAATGAAACAAAACAAAACTCCAGCTCTGTTTTTGAGTCCATTTTGTGCAATAATTTCCATTTTTACTCCATTTTCTGAGTCGAACTCGCCATTAAAAACACCCAAACCGAACCCCGACGTTTAAACATGCCATTAAATTTGATAATCTCCATGGAGACGAGCAGGCGACGCGTACAAGTCCAGGGTTTTTTTTTTCCACGTGTAACTGGATAAACGAAAGATTACACAGTGTGACTGTTAACTAATCAGGTCTTTATCGAGTTAGTTACAGTAAAAAAATAATAAAAATAATAATAATGCATCAGTTTTATATAGCGCTTTCTTTTGGACGCTCAAAGACAATGGAAGAGAATTTGTTCCGTTTAGATTTTGAGTTTTAAACATAGCTGAATTTCTCTAAAGCTCTAAAAAAAAAAAAGATGTTTGATTTATTTTTATTCTGAATTTGAGTTGCTGAAATTCACAATAAAAATGTCACCTTTTAAATATTCAGCACAGATATTTTCAAGAGTGTAAAACAGACCTTTTTCACAGTGACCTAAAGGTTTGTGGAACGTACAGTTAATGGTTTTTCGTGTCAAAATGTGTCTGTAAAATGTGTGTGTAAATGTGTGTCGTATTCTCCAGCGGCTTCATAAATGGGCTCTCTGGATTGTGGGGCGTGCAGATTGTTTTTTTGATGGGGTCGGAGGCTTTTGAGTTCGTCTTATGGTGCGGAAAATACGTTTATCACGACCGTAACATTCGTTTAGTTCGGGGGTGGGCAAACTGCGGCTCTTTAAACTTCTTAATCTGGCCCGTCGACCTTGAAGAACAATAATAATAATAATAATAATAATAATAATAATAATAATAATAATTTTCAGTGTTTTTCAAAGTCATTTCAATAAATAGTAAACACCTTGGGATTGAAAGACAAATATTTAGTTGTAGAGTTTTGTAATGATTTTCAATTATGGGATATTTTAATGGGACATGGGACATATTTTCTACAAATCTCATGTTATTTTGTTATGACAGGGGTGTCAAACTCATTTTGGTCCGGGGGTCGTATCCAACCGACTTTAATCCCAAAGTGTCCGGATCAGAAAACTCGTGTCATATAAACCCAAAAAATAACAATAAGTTCAAATATTTGTGCAGAGAAATAAAAATCTATTACAGAAATCTTTTTTTAATTGATGAACTCTTTCTTTTACAAAATATAATATTATGAACAACCTGAAACTTTAAGAAAAACACAATTTCAACACAATGTTTTAACATTAACTTGCAAATAGGAATAAGTCGATTTTTCTTGTAAAATCCTGCACTCGGCTCCACTTTTCTCATGTTGGACATTTTTCTGATGAGGGTGTCACGGTCAACAGTCAAAACGATCGTCCTTTAAGAGCGTTTGGAAAGAGACAAGTCTTCATTTGTGCTGCTCTGGTGGGAGGGGCCACGTACAGAGACGCTGGAGACGCTGCTGTGATAAACACCACAGAAAATTAACAACATTTTAATAGAAAATATCGTTAAAATATTTTAGTAGAAAATCACCCAAGGGCCACATTAAAGGTCTTGGAGGGCCGGATCTGGCCCCCGGGCCTTATGTTTGACACCTGTGTCTTATGAGGTAGACTGCCAAAAAAACTCCATCCATCTGCCCCTGGTTCAGCCCTTCGGTCAAATTTTAGAACCCCGCGTGACCCTCGACTCAAAAGGTTTTGTTTTCACTCTGAATCATATTTGAGAGTTTGAAAATATTTGTGCTGGATATTTAAAAAGTTATTATTTTTATTTTTATATATTGAATTTTAAACACTTTAAACACTTTGACATTCACAATAATTTATAAAAATAATTCAAACATGTTTTTTTTTTTTTTTCAGAGTTAAAAAATTTAAAATCTGATGAAAAAAATGATCAGAACTGCAACACGAACTACAATTTTTTATGTTAAAAAAACTTCTAAACTGCGATATCTTGGTTTATAAAATCTCAAAACAACATTTCAAACACCTGGTCTAGGATTCGTCATCTGTTTTATTTTTTTTTCCTCCAAACCCGAGCCGAGCCGCGTTTCCGGAAGTTTCTGACCAGACGAAGCAGCTCCTCCGTTCACTCTGTCCTGAAGATTCCGCGGGGGAAAGTCGCTCCGATCCGGACTCCGCTCGTCCCGGGTGCTGTCGTCTGTGGATTGTACCGCGAGCCTTGATTTTTTTCGCTCATTTACTCTGAATGTCCCTCTCTCTTCACACCCCTAAATGCTGCTGTTCTCATGATATTATGATGATGATTATGATTATTATTAAAATTAAAATAGCCATATTCCAGTGGTTCGGTGACGCTCGGACTCTAAAGATGGGAGAATGTTCGGAGGATTTTTATCAAGAACGTCAAGTCTGCACCAATCTGGGTACGTTTGTGAATGGCGTTTTAGACTATAGGTGCCTGCAGAGTTTTGTTTGGTTTTTTTTTGCCTTGGGAAAGTTTTAAAATGTAAGAAATTACCGATAACGATGGACAAAACCGAAATTCCGTTTACCGAGATTAGAATTTCTGTCGAGACGAATGGAAAAACAGTGCTTAAAGAGGGGGTATTTTTGGCGGTTTCTCCCGTGTTTTAACGTTTCATCGTCCAAAAAAAAGTATCTGAAGAGTTTTTTTGCGTGTTTGAGTAATCTAGTGATCTCTGTGTGAGATTTCTCCTTAAATACAACAATAAACATGTAAATTTTCCGTAAATAAACAAAAACGTGACACAAAACCGCAGTAGTTTCGTTGGAGAGACGCACGGTGATTGTGTTGTGATAGCGCTCTGAAGGGGGAGCGACTTAGCAGCAAAACTGACACTCATAAAACATGTTAATATGTTATTTTGGGCGATTATAGCGTTTGAAAAACAATAAAATTTGCTAAAAAATGTGACGTGTTATAATAAAAACTCCACAGAAACACCTCAAATACCTCCTCTTTAAACGCGACTGTTTATTTTTTAAAATATATTTAGTTTTTTAATGTTTTTGTAAAAGTATGATTTGAAATTTGAGTCTTTATTTTATTCTGGTAATGGAACAAATAAATGTCTTTCTGCAGTTGTGAAACCAGGTCGAAACATCAGAACATCTTCATGAGTTTCTTGGAAGTTTGGGCGTTTCTGTTTTAAAACTTTAAAGCGGCTGTACCTGATTTTTTATTTTTATTTTTTTATGTACTTATAAGTCCACTGTGTTCGGTTTTACTAATAATTCCAAAGTATTATCGTCCGTAAAACCCGTCACTCTCGTGCTCTGTTGCTGTCGCAGATCTAGAACGGTGGATTTCACGTTCAGTTTCTTGGCGAGCGTTCATGCCGCCGCCGTCGCCGCCGTCTCGGTTCGGGGGGTTTCCTGGTCTAAGTTTAAGTTTTTCAGAGTATCAGCGAGTGAAAAGGTCGAACTATTGCATCGCTACGAACGAGAGGAAAAAGAAAATGAAAGAGCAAAGCAAAATATTTTCATAGGTCAGATTTATTTTGTAGGACTAAGATAATAAATGTGTTTTGAACCCAGACGGACTGAACCAGGACTGAACCAGGACTGAACCAGGACTGAACCAGGACTGAACCAGGACTGGGTCTAAAACAGGACTAAACCAGGACTTAAACGGGACTCAACTGGAATTGAACCAGGAATGAACGAAGACTGAACTGGGGCTGAACCGGGTCTAGACCAGGACTGAAACAAGTCTAAAACAGGACTTAACCTGGTCTAAACTAGGTCTAAACCAGGACTAAAACAGGATCAAAACTAGCTCTAAACCAGGTCTAAACCAGTACTAAACCAGGTCTAAAACCAGGTCTAAAACAGGACTAAAACCAGGACTAAACCGGGTCTAAAACCGGGTCTAAAACCAGGTCTAAACTAGGTCTAAACTAGGTCTAAAATCAGGTCTAAAACCAGGTCTAAAACCAGGACTCTAAAACCAGGTCTAAAACCAGGTCTAAAACCAGGTCCAAAACCAGGTCTAAAACCAGGTCTAAAACCAGGTCTAAACCAGGTCTAAACCAGGACCTATTTTATAGTTTAATCAGCGTTACCCTGGACCAAGATGTCGTTTTTTGTTCCAACAGACGCGTTCGTCAGTGCGAGATCTATCGTTCTATATCTGTGTGTTGCTGTTAGCATGCTAGTTGTTGTTGTTATTACCATGACGACCAAACTCCCCTCTGGTCTCTGAGAGTTTTGAAAAGTTCTTCTAACCTCATCGTGGAGAACTTTGGACCAGAACTGTGGATCACTGAAACTGTTTACAATCCAACTAGTTTTGGGGGAAAAAAATCAGATACAGCAGCTTTAAAAATAACAGAAACTAAAAAAAAAGGGTTTCATTTCTGCTTTACAAACCTGTACCTTTAAAAACACGGAGGAGCATGTTTTGGATCACCTGATGATGTCACAAGGTGTAACAGAGTGTTGTGAGCCGTGCAGATGAAACGAAACACAAATCCAGTTTTACAAAGCTCAGAAAGTCGATTTAACAGAAAATACGACCTGTAGTCATTCGTACGGAGGTTTGATTTCCTCCACGTTTACCGCAGTTGTGCTCTTGGGCAACGCACTTCACCCACACACTGTTTATTTATTGATGAATGTGTTTTATCCGCTCCGATGTCTGATTTATAACTTAAAGAGGCGGGATTTTTGAAGTGTTAAGTGTTAAAAACTGCTTCTTTTAGAGTCGTCCCTCTGTGTTTGAGTCATTTAGAGATCTGTCCAGGGCCTTGTTCAAACACTCCTTACAGTACGAAGCTCCGCCCACAAGCTCAGACACGACAATTCTACATAAATATACAAAAACATGTACCGTATTTTCTGGAGTATAAGTCGCACCAGCCAAAAAAAAAAACATTTAAGTCACATTTTTTGGGGGAAATTTATTTTTTAAAATCAGAGACCAGGAACAGCTATTTTACTTTGAAAGGGAAGTAAAAACAATAGAACAGCAACAACGTAAAATGAAAACTGGGTTCCCACGGTCATGGAAATACTGGAAAACTCATGGAATTTCAGTCTGTTTCACACAGCTCCAGCGTTCTGTTAAATTCTCATGAAGTTATAAAGATTATTTGTGAACGTCTGCACCTTTTTTTGTTTAAAAGAGACGACAATAAATGCACTGACAGGATTTAGAATGTTTAAAAACTATAATCCCAAACCATAAAGTGAGTGGAAAGAATTAACATTTCAGATTTATCCCTAAAAGTCTGATCAGTTCTACACATGTAGGTGCTGTAAAGTCATGGAAAATTCACTTTAGATCTTGAAAAAATCATGGGAAAGTTTTGAAATTTTGTCGGTGAAAAAGAGGGAGAAATCTGTGAATCTGTGTGTCATCCGTTCATTCGTTTTTCAAAATAAAAACGAAAATGAGAAAATGAAAAAACAACTATTTTTTTTATTATTTGTCTCCAAAACCAAAATAAAACAGATAATGATTCGTTTTTTCAGTTTTCAATTTTGTGTTTAAATGAAAAAAGGAAAAAAAATGGATAATGAACTAAACCAGGACTAAAACCAGGACTAAAACAGGACTAAAAACAGGACTAAGACCAGGACTAAACCAGTCAGTTCCAGTCTTGGTCCTGGTCCGGGTCTGAGTCCTGATCACCCAAAAGTCTACACGGGCGCACCTTCAGGCCTGTCCTGGTTCAGTCCTGGTTCAGTCCTGGTTTAGTCCTGGTTTAGTCCTGGTTTAGTCCTTTATCCATTTTTTCCATTTTTCATTTAAACACAAAATCAAAAACTGAAAAAAACAAATCATCTGTTTTTTCATTTTGGTTTTGGAGACAAATAATGAAGAAAATCATTTTTTGGTTTTCTTATTTTTAGTTTTATTTTGAAACACAAATTAACAAACGACACACGGACTTTACTGAACTCTCCATCTCGCTCCAAATCACTAAATCCATCCAATTCTTCATCCTCGTGTCACTTCTGAACAACTCCGACAACTCGACATAAATCCAACTTTTAACTTTTTTTATTTTCTTCATTACAGTTCGAGATTTTTTTTCTCACAAATTTCTCTCTCACTCTAAACTTTTATTTCTGCTGCTCGATTTCCGTTTTCGGCTGCAGATACTGACACGCGAGACTAGAGCGCCCCCTGTCGGCTTCAGCGTGAAAATAACAAACACCTGGAATTATTTATTTGAATATTTGAGTCACGGGAAACGGCCAAAACATGAAAAAAAAGCCACTTATAGTCTGAAAAATACGGTACACGGCGACTTGACAAACTGATTGTGTTGTGATAGTGCTCTGAAGGGGGAGTGACTTAGCAAAGAGTGAAGGAGATACTCAAAACTGAAATGTATAAAAGTCGTTTTGGGAGAATCAAATCGTCAAATCCCCCGTTTAAAATATTCACAATTTTCCATTTTGGTGCAGACGTGTTTTGGTTTTTTCAGGATGTCGCTTTTACAGTTTTTTTTGGTTTTCGTTTGCGTTTCTTTTTTTTTTAGATTTTTACCGGTTTATTTTCCGAGGTGTGCGTCTGGTTCGTGTGGATTTTATCGTTTTCCCGCTCTGCTCGCCGTTTGTCTCTCTGTCTCCGGACCTTTACCCTCCCGCCTGGATTCCCGCAAAAACAGCTCCAAAAAAAACGCCGGTTCTGTTCTTCTCGTCCTGGAGAATTCGGGAATGTTTTTGGTTTTTGTTTGTGTTTTTTTTTGTTTTTTTCGCCAAAGCTGTTTGGTGGACAGAGATCTCAGTTTTGGACACCAGCTTTCAGCCTTAAGCCCCTACCTCTTCCCTCCAGGACGTCCAACACTTGCACAGAAAAGCGACGGCGGCGTTTGGGACTTTGGTGTTTTTTGGAGGTTTCAGTGCCTGGTTGATGATGACTACTTTAAACTGATTTGATTTGAGAAGCGCCGGGTCAGGTCAGGTCTTGGTCTCGGTCTTGGTCTGGGTCCAGTTCTGGGTCCGGTTCTGGGTCTGTTCGGACTGGACGGTGAATGATTTTAAGTGAGGTTTTGGGAGAAGGTGAGACGTGTTCATGCTCTACGGGAAAATCTGCTTGAATAAATAAAAAAAAAAGTCATGATTCCAACTTTATTGTGTTTTCTCCTTTTATTATGACGACAAAGTCCTGGTTTAGACCTGGTTTAGTCCCGGTTCAGTTCTAGTTCAGTCATGGTTTAGTCTTGGTTTAGTCTTGGTTTAGTTTTTACTTAAATCCTGGTTTAGACCTGGTTTAGTCCTAGTCTAGTCCTGGTTTAGACCTGGTTTAGTCTCAGTTTAGACCAGATTAAGTCCGGGTTTGGTCCTGCTTCAGTCCTGATTTAGCCTTGGATTAGTTTTTTCTTAAATCCTGGTTTAGTTCTGGTTTAGCCCCTACTTTAGTCTTGATTTAGTCCTAGTTCAGTTCTGGTTTGGTCCTTTTTAATTCTGGTTTAATTCCTGGTTTTAGTTCTGTTAGGTCCTAGTTTAGTCCTAGTTTAGTCCTGGTTCAGTCCTGGTTTAGTTCAGGCGTAGTCCTGGTTTAGTCCTGGTTTAGTCCTGGTTTAGACCTGGTTTAGTCCTGGTTTACTTCAGGCGTAGTCCTGGTTTAGTCCTGGTTCGGTCATGGTTTAGTCCTGGTTTAGTTCAGGCGTAGTCCTGGTTTAGTCATGGTTTAGTCCTGGTTTAGTCCTGGTTTAGTTCAGGCGTAGTCCTGGTTTAGTCCTGGTTCGGTCCTGGTTTAGTCCTGGTTTAGTCCTGGTTTAGTTCAGGCGTAGTCCTGGTTTCCTGTTTAGTCCTGGTTTAGTTCAGGCGTAGTCCTGGTTTAGTCCTGGTTTAGTTCAGGCGTAGTCCTGGTTTAGTCCTGGTTTAGTCCTGGTTTAGTTCAGGCGTAGTATCCCCACATGAACACGGCGGCCATCATCATGATCAGCGCGTTCACGTTGACGACGATTTTAAACTTCGGGTTTTCGCTGATGTCGGGCAGCGGAGGCTTCTCATTGGTCGAGGGCTCCGAGGGGCGGACCTTAGAGCCGCCGCCGCAAAACCGACCAATCACAGCGCAGATCCCGGACTCCTCTTCCTCATCCACAACTGAAGAAAACAGAAGACAACGATTAAAAACAGAAACATCGAGCGGCGTCTGAACACGTCTGATGCAGGGTTTTTATTTCCTAAGGTGAGACATGTCAGTGCCACAGCCGCCCTGGGGCAGACTGATGTGGCTGCTTTTCTGCACCTTCAGCTCGTCACCACAGACCAGACACACACAGCTACAGCCCATCTAATGGTGCGTTCAATTATCCGTCCGTCTTCCACTCAGATCTCGGACGTCACATCCACACTTCAGGAGTTTAGTTTTATTTCGCACATTTGACGTCTCGGTCTGGTCCTGATCCACGTCCGGAGACTCAGACCGACAACAGACCGACAACAGACCGACAACAGACCGACATTGTAAAGTGAGCACATGTTCAGGTTGTTCCTTTAATAGATGCATCAAGAATTTCAGACTTCTGGTCATGGTGCAGGTCAGACTGAGAAGGATCCTCCGAAAAAGTGAACATCAAACCTCCATAATCTGTGTATCGTTCGTTCATTAGTTTTTCAATATAAAACCAAAAATAAAAAAATGAAAAAACAACAGTTTTCTTCATTATTTGTCAGATAATGATTTGTTTTTTCAGTTTTCGATTTTGTGTTTAAATGAAAAGTAGAAAAAACAGGTAATGGTCGTTTCCTGTTTACGTGACTTCAGTGACTGTGATGTCGGACTGAACCAGGACTGATCCAGGTCCAGGACCAGAGCAGGACTTCGAGCTTTGACTCCGAGCCTCCGCGGGTCCGAGCCTGCTGTGGGGTCTGGTCCCGGTCTCAGTCCTGGTCTGGTCCCGGGCTCAGTTCTGATTTCAGTCCCGTCTGGTCCTGGTCTGGTCCTGGACCTGGATCAGTCCTGGTTCAGTCCGACATCACAGTCACTGAAGTCACTTAAACGGGAAACTGTCGTTTTCCGTTTTTTCTACTTTTCATTTAAACACAAAATCAAAAACTGAAAAAACGAATCATTTTCTGTTTTTTCATTTTGGTTTTGGAGACAAATAATGAAGAAAATCTTTGTTTTTTTGTTTTCTTATTTTTGGTTTTATATTGAAAAACAAATGAACGAATGACACACAGATTCTCCATGTTTGTTTTCCCAGTGGGATGTGTTTATTGTCAAAGTCGATCTTTTCAAGTCTTTTGAACCATTTCACTTTTGTTTCTGGTTCTGATATTGTCATATTTTAGTTTTGGGATTCGGACATTGTAATTGTGTGGTTGTTGGATCCTAACAGTGGAAAACAACTCGAGAAATGTGTTTGTGAACTTCATAAATGCAAAAGTGAATCAGATGTGTGTGACTCAAACCTCTGTTCAAACTGTTTCTCTTCCCAACGGAATTGAAAAATAGTGAAAGGTGAAGGTGATGGGCAGGAATTGATCCACAGGAAGAACCAAAAAAGGAAAACATTTGTCTGACTAAGAAATCATCCTGAGTTTACAGAGAACATTTTGTATGTGGAGCGACAACAAAGCAAAACTCTGATCTCTCGTTCAACCTCGGTTATGAATTTAAAAAGTCAACAACAAAGTGAAAGTCTCCAACTGTTCACCAAGAAACACCTTCCACTGCAAAGAGACCAAGACGTGATGTTTCTGTAAAACCACAAGAACAAGAAAGTGCAGCTCAGTCTGTTTGTCTTCTGCTCCTCTACATTAACAAACGGGATTTTGTTTTGTTGTCGCTCTTTGGCAGGTTTGTTCTGGTGGTTCTGACCTGGTTCAGTCTGGTTCTGGTTCTGGGTCTGGTTCTGGTTCTGGTTCTGGTCGTCTTCAGTTTGGTCCAGGTCGACTCTCGGTTCTTTGGAGTTCCTCAGACTGAAGACCAGACGATGCAGCTGAGACAAAACAGAAACATGGAATTAAAATATTATTATAAATCTGAAAACCCACAGAAAAAAAAGCAGAACTGATTTGATTTAATTTACAGAAAAATCACAGTCATTTTTTGTACATTTCTGTTTTTTATCCTTGATGAAAAAACAACAGAAAAATCCATTGAACAAGTAAGTACTGGTCTAGTCCTGGTTTAGTCCTGGTCTGGTCCTGGTCTCGGTCCTGGTCTGACATCTCGGTCTCAGCTGTCAGTCCTGGTCCCAGTCCTGGTCCTTGTGTCACGTGTCAGTCCTGGTCTCGGTCTCTGTCCTGGTCCTGGTCTCACATGTCGCTCCTGGTCTCTCGTGTCTGGTCCTGGTCTCGGTCCTGGTCTTGTCCTCGGTCCTGGTCCTGGTCTGGTTGGTGTCGGTCCTGGGTCTGGTCTGGT